GGGGGGGGGGAGGGGGCGGGCGTCCGTCCGTCCGTCCGTCCGTTGAGTCCACAGACGCCCACCCAGCCACCGACCGCCGACACCCTCTCTCTCACACAAGACACGCCACGCCACGCCACGCCATGCCATGTAGATAGCCACCCACATACAGACAGACAGACCGATGCGTTCGGCCGGCCGGTCTTTCTCTTTTGTCTGCCAGCTTGGCCCCCCGGCTCCTTCCCTTCCCTTCGTGTGTGTGTGCATCGATCTGTCTCGTGCATGCATGACAATGGCATGGAATGGAATGAGTGACAGCGCTCGGGTGCGCTCGCTGGCTGCCGAATCACCACGAGGGCACCCCGGGCCATTTTAACTAAGGTACCTACGTGTGTGCGGTGAAGTGGATGGATAAACTAACCTTGAGGGACGGTGCCGTGTTGTGTGTGAGTGACGCGAGACAGACAGACAGACAGACGGACGGGCGGACCGGACCATTCATCGGTCGGTCATTGTATGTGTGGTGAATAAATTTCATTACCAGTGAGTGACGCGTACACACACAGGTCGGTCGGTCGGCAGAGTGAGCCGGTCCTCACTGGATGGATGTCGCCTCAAAACCAAAACCACGCCAAAACACCAAAATCAATTTGGCAGGTCAGCTCGTCCACTGAGGTACCCCACCCCACAGTCCCCACCCCACCGCATCCCCGGCACTCGCTCAGTTGTCGGGCCCTATCTGTTTCTTGATCCACTCGATAGTGTGCTCGAAGATCTGCCCACACACAACCATGGCACGCCACACACATACAGCAAACCTATCGACCTCTGCACAAAAACCCACGCCTGGCGTGCAGAGCGTACCACTTCGTTGCCGGGCTCGTGGTGCAACGCATGCCACCGGTCGGGGAACTCGAGCAGCGTCTTCTCCTGAATGATGACACACACAACCTCACTCACAGTCACCACATCACTCACACCGTCGCCTCGCTTCGCTTCGCTTCCTTGTGTGTGATACCTTTGAGGACGCCTCCTTGTGCAGGCGGTATGCGCCGTCAGGCTCCACGAGAGTGTCGTCAGGGTTGACCAGAATCAGCATCGGGACCGCGACCTTCGCCAGGTCAGCCTCAACCCTGACAGAACACAAACACCCACCTCTCCCCCTCTCCCTGTGTCTGTCTGCGTGTGTGTCGAGTCGACTCACTTGGCCACGCCAGCAAGATTCTCCTTGGCAAAGCGGGTGCGTATCCTGCAGGCAGGCAGGCAGGCACGTGACACACATGGTCAGGTCACCAGCCACCCGGCCGGCGCCACAAGAGGCTCACAGCGTTCAAGATCGACTGACTGACTCACCTGCCTTTGTAGAAGTAGGGGTCGTTCTGCTCCACCTCGCGCTCCTCCGGAAACGGCGACTCCTAAAGAATGCCACGTAATCCAACACAGGCATGAACAAACGCGCCACCGTCTGCCTGTCTGCCTGTCTGTCTGCCTGCCTGCTGGTCTACCTCTTTCTCGCCAAGGGCCAGGTTGGGCAGGACGGCAGACACCGCCCCCAGGAGAGGCAGCAAGATGCGATTGATCGGCTTGGCTTTGACCTTCTCCAGACTCAGCATCGGACTCATCAAAATGAGGGCGTCGATGTCGCCCTCGCTGTCCGTCTGCGTCGTCCGTGTGGCAATCAGGCCGCCCATGCTCATGCCCAGCAATATCAAAGGCAGCCGTCCCTGGGACCTGGTGGACACACACACACAGACAGGACGAAAGACTTGCTTGTTTCGGCCGTTGAGTGCGGGCGTGACCGTCCCCCTACTTTGTGCGCTGTCTGACGGTCTTGATGACCAAATGGGCGTCATCAACGAAGTCGTCAAAGTGCTGGCAGGTCGCCCTGCAATGCACACACACACCCAAAGACACACACACACACAGACGAACGCATGATCCACAGGCCTGGCCTGCAGGCTCTATCTCGTCAGCTTCAGGGTACTTGTATCCGTGCCATCCCTCCGAGCGGCCGAAGGACTGATGGTCATAGGCGCACAGCGACGCACCAGCCTTGTTGAACCTGCAGCCGCCCACCCACACGTGCAGTGGCACCATCGTGTGCGGTGGTGTGTGTGCCTCTCTCTCTCTCACTTTTGTGCCCATGAGCCTTCGTATGTGAGTTTTGGGTGCATCATCCACTCTATGTGGGCGTGGGCAGAGTAGCCATGAAGACCTGCACAGTCAGCAAAGGTCAGCGAGTCAGTCAAGAGACTTGGCAGCGCAGCGCCTGTCTGTGTCCGGGCATACCAACGACGATGAATTTGGGCTGCTGGACCTCCCACAAAAAGCACGCCAGCGACAGGCCCTGCACACACACCCACGCACACCCACGCACAAGTCACAGGGAGGCGGTTTGGTCACTCGATGAAGACCTGCTTGTTTTTGAGGGTTTCTTTCGTCGGGCTGCCGTCATCGGGGTACGGATCTGCAGATGCCGACGCCATCGATAGATGAGAAACTGAGGCAGGTGCCGATGTTCCCTATTCCGGCGCGCCGATCGGTCAGAAATTGTACGACATCGATAGCATTCAAAGTTCCCGGGAATCGTCCACAACATGCAACCGTCACTGTACACACACACAGAGCACCCAAGCCTCAGCGGCCCATCACTGGAACAAAAATATCGTGCAACTATCCATCCATCCATCCGTCAGTCATCTCTCTCGTATGTCGCTGTGTCGCATCCATCCATCGAAAACACACATGATCTCTCTCCCCCCCATGACACGTGATGTTGCATTCAAAACTATGTACTCATGGACGGACGGACGGCCTTCGTTCCATCTATCACATCGACTGATGGAATGATGGCCGTTGGCTACCTCTCACACGTGTATCCCATCTCACCCACAGGCACAGCAGGGCAGTCATGCAAACAACGGACACACAGTCACCACACAAGCCCCCCACCTCTGGCCATCCGATATGATGCACACGGATGCCCTTCGTTTATTGCCCGAGATGGATGTCGATCACGTTGCATGTGTGTTGCAACATAAGAGCATCGTCGTCGAGCACTACACAAAGAAGCCATCCATCTGCAACATATCAGATCAGATCCGTTGCCCCAAGCACATCTGTATTCTCGTCAGCCGTGCTCCTCGGTCTCGACTCCCGGCAGAGGCGATCGAATGCGCGGAGCCAAGCAGAGGCACGTGGCGGGAGGGACGCCACGTTTCTGCTCGGCCCCGGGCGTTCCATCGGGTCAGCCGGTCAGCCAAGACGCAGAACAGCAGGAATAGGGGTGGGTAAGTCTCACTTGACCAAGACACGCACGCATCGTCGACACCTGACCAACACACCACACACACACACGGGCGTGTATGGTGGGTAATGCACCACCCCGCCGCACAGCTCCATCCCTCACCTGATTGATCATTTCGCCTTAGCCGCCCGGACCTCATCAGCTGCCGTTTTGAATTCGAAGGCCTCTTTTTGGTAGGTCACGTCCCTGTTCTGCCATGTCTTGAGGTCAAGGAACGCCTCAGCCATGTCCAACTCGGGGTCAGGCTGAGGACACACACACAAGGGGGGGACGGGACGCACCATGCATAGTGATGATTGGTCGGTGGACGGACGTCTCTGAGTGTGTCTGTGTCTCGTTGCTTACGAAGTCGTCGTTCTCTTTGGAGAGGGCCTCTCTGTACTCGTCGGTGATCTCGTCTTCCGCGTTGAAGCCCGTGTCCTCATCCTCCTGGCACAACACAACACGGCCGATCGACACGACCAGCATGTGTGTGTGGTGAAGGAATGAGATGGATAGATCACTAAGTAGCTCACTTGCGAGACTTCTAGTGATGTGCCGTCCTCCTCCTCAAGAGTGATCACTGGCGGCACCTCTCCGGTCTCCAACAAATACTCCGCACGGGCGAAATCCTGATACATGGCAGCATGCCACACACACACAAACGTAAGTGTGCTGTCTGTCTGTTCATTCTGATCCTGACCTTCCTGGTTGCAATCTCGAGGGCCGTTTCGTCACGAGCCCCCCTGGCATCCTTGTCCGCACCACTCTGATACACACAGACACACACACGTGGTGGGTGGGTGAGCTGCGTTGCCCTCCCTCCTTCTTTGTGTCGTGTGCGTGAATGTGGCGGTCTGTCTGTCTGTGCCTCACGTCGAGCATGAATTTGATCATGTTGAGGTTGCCGGACCGCGCCGCGTCGTGGAGGGGCGTCTCGAACAGGGCGTCACGCGCATTCACCAGCTTCTTGTCAGCCTGCACCACACACACATGACAAACATCAACTACGTCATGAAGGCCCCTCCTCCATCCCGCAACTCACCCCAATGAGCGTCTTGGCGACGTCCATGTTGCCGCCGGCCGCTGCGATGTGTAGTGCGGTTGACCAGCCATTGGCGAAGGTGCCCCTCTTGGCGTCTGGCTTGACCTTGCCCTTCCTGCGATTGACCATACCATGTCAGCCACACGACACAACAGGCCCACACCATGCCACCTCTGCCCACGGGTCCATGTGGTGTATGGTGAGTCAGTCTTACTTGAGGATCAGGTCCATGATTTCTGAGGTGCCCTTCGGTCCGGCGGCTGAGTGGATGATGCCGTTGCCCGCCTTGTCACTGTGGCTGGTGTTGGCGCCGGCGTCGATCAGGGCCTTGACACACGCTGTCCGGCCCTCCTCAACCGCACCCTGACATGACACGCAAGCCAAGCCCCCACACAACGGACGGAGAGGAGAACATCCATCACCAACAGCTCGTCTCGTTCCCCCCCCATCTCCTCTCTCTCTTGTTCTCACTCACCTGCAGCGGTGTCTTTCCGAATTTGTCCACCGAGTCGAGGTCGCCCCCCTTGCCGACCATCATCTTGGTCAGCGAGGGATTGCCGCTCTTGGCTGCCGCGTGCAGCACCGTCTCGCCGTTCTCGTTCCTCATCTTCAAAGCCACATCAGCACCAGGCGCCTTGAGCAACAGGCTCACCGTCTCCTCACGACCCTCGGCACACGCGAAGTGCAGCGGCGTGTTGGAGCCCGCCTCGCTGAAGGACCGGGCGGCCACACCGACGCCGTAGTCGAGCAGTGCCTGGACCTTCTTCATGTCAGCTGGTGCCATGGTGGCTGCCGCCCGCTCCCAGGCCTTGTTGAGGACGTCGTCGAGCGAGACCGCCTCGATCTGCGCGAGGAGCGCCTGCACGGCTGCGGTGTGGCCGTTGCGGGCCGCAAGGTGGAGAGGGGTGAAGCCGAAAGCGTCCTTCAGGTGAAGGTCGGCGCCTCGCTGAACACACACACACACACACATCAACCACCACCCACAGCCATAGATGTGTGTGTATGGGCAGAGTGCTCCCCCCTCCCTCCCTCCCTCCCTCCCTCCCTGTGTGTGAGTGCTCACCGGCAGCAGGAACTGGACGGCCTGCATGTTGCCCTCGTTGCACGCCTTGTGCAGTGCCGATTGCCCCAGGCTGTCGGGCTCGTTGATATCCGCCTCCCCCAGCACAATCATCTCCTTGGCGCTGGCAATGTCGCCGCTGAGGACCTTCTGGTGGAACTCGGGCAGATCGCCGTACGGCCCAGTGGTCTTGGCCTCGACCAACTCGCGGATCTTGTCAGCGATCTCGCCGGCGAGCATGGGGTCCTCACGGCCGACCGCGTCAGGGTCCAGCTCCAGGTTGCTCATCAGCGAGGCGATGTCCTGCGCCTCCGTGGTGGTCAGATCAAACGTGGGGATGCTGTAGCCGAGGTTCTTCTCAATGGTGTCCTTGACAGGCGTGGCCACGCCATGCAGCCGCGTGGGGTTGGATGATGGGGCGTGCCTGCGGGATGCGGGGGAGGGCGGCACGAAAGCGGGAGCGTTGATCTGCCGTCTCAGCTGGAAGGACAGGCAGGGGGTGGCGCTGAGGGAAAAAATCGCCACGATTGCGATAAGCGACTTCATTTCGCTGACCACCAGGGGGACGGGTGGGGAGGGGGAGCCCAAAAAAGAGAAGAGAGGGGAAACTGCCTTTTTCGCGAGCCAAGCGCGCAGACGGAGCCGATCGCGCGCTTGGAAAAGAGGGACTCATTTCGCTACCAACCGCCCCAGGCTCAACGGGTGTTCCGGCGTCGCCACACATCTTGTGCACATATAGCAATCGTGGTTGTTTCGTGTTGTTCAGGCACCGAACACGAAGCCATCGATCGAGCCATCGATGGTGAGCGCAAGAGCGCAAGCAAGACAGCACCACACCTCGGATATGATGTGCCTGTGGATGCATCAATCGATCCGCCTGTGTGGTTGTGCTTGTTGCAGCTGCCTCCCTGGCGTTGGCTATGTGGCCTGGCGGCAGCCATGCTGTGCATCTCTCTCTTGGCTGTGTTGATGGTGGTGTGCGACGCCTCTGCGACGACCTCGTTCATCCACCGTGCGTCAGCGACCGGCAGCAGCTTCCGCCGGGCAAGGCCGGCCCCTGGCGCCCTTGGAATGAGCCAGCCACCAGGTGCGCAGCTGGAGATGGGGAGGGGAGGAGAGGAGATATGTGCTCTGCGGCCACCAGGGCGACAGGTGCATTCATTGCCTTGCCTCTGTGTGCACACGCGTGTGTGTGTGTGTGTGTGTGTGTCAGGGGAAGCTCCTCCACGATTCAAACTCGTTGCTCAAGACCTCATGAGTGTTGACAAGCTCACAGACGTCCGCAACCAGCGTGTCTTGGGGAAGCTGCCCACCCTCGTTCCTCCACCTGGGGCGCCTAACTATGTCGGCCTCGACGAGCTCCGGCAGATGGTAGAAGGCAGCATGGGCTGGTCGGCCCCGATCCTGGATCTTCACAAGACGGAGGATTCGCGGGAGTTCCGCGTCGGGCCTACAGCTGTGTCGCGCTTCGCTCGCGGGGGCAAGACCCGCATGCTAACTGAGATCGGCTTGTTGCTTCAGGAGCGCAAGATTCCTACGCTCTTCATCACCTTCAGCGACTTTACTGAAATGGAAGACGGCGAGCGCGACAGCATCAATCCGTTGGAGTCCATCTTGATGCGGATTGCATGGGCGACAGCACCAGAAGAGACGGTCGCTAAGGTGGTGGCGCACGCGCGAGAGACTTTCAGCGACATGGAAGACAAGACCGTGCACGACTTCACCTTCCCTGACTGGCTCGAGACAGCATCGATTAGCGAAGGGGAGATCAAGAAGTGGCTCGGTCAGAGTCAGCTCATCTTGCTCGTGGATGAGCTGAATCAGCTGCTCACCACGGACCTCTTGGACTCACTGGTCAGCATTGAGACCGACGAGGCGACAATGGGCAAGCAGCGCGTGGCTGCGAAAGCGGCAGAATTCCTCAGGTTGGTGTTCCTGAAGGAGGAGGGACGCTACTTGATCTTCTCCAGCCACGTTGCAACGGTCGGCAGCCGGCTAGAAGACTACTGGTTGCTGATCAAAAGGGGCCGCCGAGTCGTCAAGCTGCGGATCCCGGTGATTAACGAGCTAGCCGACGCACAAGCCATCACCCGTTGCACACACGGCGGGCAGATTTCCTGGACTGGGAGAGCACCTTCACTGCTGTACGAGCTCTTCAAGCGGAGCCCCACTTGCGAGTCCACAGATCTGGAGGGTGTGAGGCGGCTCTTCTCAGGAGCTAGCACACCCATGGATGCGGATATTGCCAGGGCCATCATTCGGTCAGCCCTCGATGGGGACCCGAATTGGGTTGCTGCTCTCGGCGCACTGGCGGGGAACGTTGACGCTTTCGGCGAGAGCATCGTATGGCCCCCGTGCTACTTGGGCACAGCTTGCGATTTGCTGTCTAACACCGAAAACGACGCCATTCAGTCGGCACTCGGCGGGGCGTTCATCTCTGGTGTCGGGCGTGTTGAGCCACTCTTGAAAGAGCTGCTAGAGGACAAAGGCTCCGGGTGACGGTGGCAGGGCGTGACTGCTGCCGCGGTTCTCCTGAGACTGCTGGACAGCCACATGGCGTACCTCAGCAGTGGTTTCCCGTCGCAGCTGCCTGATCCCGCAGATCTTCTTCTCCCTTTCCCCGTCACCATGGGCTGGCGGTTTGGAGGCTGCCGGTTTGGAGGGTTTGTGGACGTTTCTCGGTTTCGGGGCGTCAAGGGAATCGAGAAGGGCGAGGTCAAGACCCTCAGCCAGCTCATCGATTGGTGGAAGGAGCGCGCGGCATCCATGTCCATGCCTCGTCAGTTAGGAGACGGGTTCGTGTCTTACCTGGTGAAACCGACCAACCCGCAATTCGAGGGATTTGACTTCTTCGTCTTCGTCGAGCGCGATGGTCGCCTATCCCACAGCTGGGGCTATCAGGTCAAGGAGGCAACCACGGAACCCTCAGACGAGGCGACGGCGACCATCAAGAAGGCTTTGAAGGGCGTCGCCAATCTCTCGGATTCCACACACGGCATCGAGATTGCCGTCGTGTGGCTGCAAGGTGATTCCTCATCATCACCCAAGGGCCAGGAGCGTGAGGACAAGATTGGCAGCATCGAGGGCTGGCCATTCTACCATCCTTCTCCGAGGACAGTCCAGCTGTTCTTGGGCACGTCACTGGCCGAAACGTGCCCCTTCAAGCTGCTGGACGCGAGTTCAAGCTGCTTGACGCGAGAAGAAAGTGTTGAGAGGGTGTCTGACTGACGGGCAGTTGTTTGATGTTTTTCGCGAGTTATGACTGTGCGTTGACGTCGAAAAGTGGTGGTTTAAGGACTCTCGACCGTCTTCCTTTCAGTATGAACATTCGGCGCTGATTGATCGCACCATGCATACGAACTACACAGTCACCGATCGTCATGACACACAGCACTTCCCTCTCAGACGCATCGCATCAATCGCAAACGTCCCACCCATCCATCTAACCACCCATCCATCCATCCTCTCTCTGGCCACAAGTGCATAACCGCCACTCGTTCAAATGAACAGACACGCGTAGCTTAGCTGGCGAAGCGCTTCATCCACCGTGAGTCACCCACCAGTATTTTGCTAACACGAATGTATGAAAGCAAATCGGTACGTACATGGCTCACGTCAAGTCAAGTCACGCCACTGACGGCATATCTCTACACATCTTCCTGAGGTCAGTAGGCATCACCCTTTCACCCTCCCTCGCCCGCACACGGCTCATCACACTCTCCACACCCACACCACTGCCCATCTCACCCACCCAGTGGGCGACCATCTCCCTCTGCGTGGCCTCACTGGGCATTCCATCCATCCCTATCCACCTCTCCAGCCGCCCCGCACGCACCACAGACTCTTCCAGCATCGAGGGCGGCACCTGCGACGTCCCCACCACGCCGTACGCCGTTGAGTGGGATCCATCTTTCGTCTGATCTGTGTCTGTGTCGATGCCGTCCAGTGCCAGCAGCAGGGTGGTGAGCAGCCGCCGCTCGCCGGCGTACTCGTCGGTGTCTGCGTCTCGCTCCCTCTTGAATGCGATGGTCTCCAGCCCTTCTAACACCAACACACACGGCGACGAGCGAGCAGCCTGATGGAAACCGAGAACAGATTAGTGTGTCCATGGGTGTCAGGTCCAGAATACCTGCATGCAATGCGCACCTGTGCGAACCACCTCCGCAGCTTTCGCTCGCTGTCGCCTACGTAGGGGCCGAAAACCTCGGTCATCGGGGCGAAGAGCACACGGACGGCGGGGTAATGCTCCTGGGCGAGTGCGCGAAGGATATGTGTCTTGCCCACACCCGATGGACCGTGCAGCAGCACACGGGGCGGCCGGGTGACGCCGTACTCGCGATACAACCTCTGCAAAATGAAGACGACGCCATGCATTGGTTTCTCGTGCAGTGCAGTCTGGCCGGCTGGCTGACTTGCTGCCACTTACTTACCGGGTTGGTGAACCATGCGAACACCGACTCGTCGAGCTCCCTCATGACAGCCTGGTAGGCCTCGCCCACCACCTCCAGCCCCGAAGCCGTGTCCCCTCCCTCCACATCACCAGCCGCCCTCCGCCGCTCGCGTGGATGCCTCAGCCGCCGATCCAGCAACGCCCATGACACAGCCGAGGGGGCGCCCTGTGCGAGAGAGAGGCGCTTCATGTAGGGCGTTGGGTCGACGGATGTGGGCAGCTGGGAGAGGAGGGAATGAGTGTCCGTGTGGCTGTGGGGGGAGGGCTGGTGTGCCATGAGGGTGCGGCGGTGCCGCCATGTCAGGTGCAGGGAGGGGGAGGCGAATGGGGGCACATCTGAGCACACGGACAGACAACAAATGACAAACAATGGTGTCATCTTCTTGTGTTTGGTCGTCCCGGCCCTGACCTTGATGGAACCACTTGCTGACGACGGATGGGATCCACTTGGTGCTTTCACATACCCCCACCACCCGCCCGCCTCCTTTGACAAAATCCTTCAGCACCGTCATGCACTCATCGAGCGTCCGGGTCGACCCCTCCTGCGCCCCTCCGCGAGGCACAACCGCATCAAGACCCACCACCACCAGAAAAGGCGGGCTCGGCATATCCCTCTTCTCTCTCGTACGCCAAAGGTACTCGACAAAGTCCCGCAAGAGTATGCCGATCGGTGTCTGGACGTAGGGCGGCAGTCGCCCTTCGATAGTCACGGTGCCGGCTGCTGCTGCTGCTGCTGTGTCTGCGGGGCTCTCTTCATCTTGTCCTTTTGGCTCCTCTTGTGGACTGACGTACCGCCCTCCCTGCAGATGGAAGGCCACGTGCAGTGGAATCCAGCCGAACGAGGGATTGGTGGCCGTATCAGCAAGATGAAAACAGTCAGCAAAGGACGAGGGCGGCTGCGGCCGTTGGGCACACGCGATGACACCCCTGAGGGCCTGGATGAAGAGCGTGGTCTCTCTGCCGGCCGCCAGCCCCTCCACCAGTATCCTGGACTGCACCTGTACCGGGGATAGCTGCCCCTGCTGCGTGAGATGGATGTGCCGGAGCAGCTCGGTGGCATCCATGGCAGATGCAGGCTGGTCCTCTGTGCCAGCAAAGCCCTCAAGCCCCTCAATGTCGTCCAACACAGCCTCCCACGGGGGCCGTACCGCTGCGTCGAGGGATGAGCTTCTTGGAAGCATCGCCTTCGTCGCGTCAGTAGCCAGTCGCCAGATGAGCCCTGTCAGCGGCAAAGATGGCGACGGGCGCACGGCTGGGTTGGCGAAAGCGCAGATCGATGGCTGTTGCACCAGCAGCTGCGACGGACTGATCGGGTTCTCGTCAGATCGTGGCAATGTGGGAGCTTGAAGAACGCGAAACACGGCTGTTTGGCCCACGAGAGTCAGTGGCAAGAGGCAGCCCTCCTGCAGCATCAGCCGCAGCCTCAACTGCAGCTGTCGGATGATAATGGCATCCAGGTCAACATCGCCGAGCGTCCTGACGGCCTCGATGGTCGAATAGGCAGATGAGAGAGGGAACAAAGGGCCTTCAAGCACCAGACATGCATCACTGTCAAGTGCAGCTGCATCGCCAGGCTGCTCCACCACCGTTGCTTGGCCGCTGGATAGCTTTGGGAAGGCTTCGGTGAGCCATCGAGGGATGCAGATGCTGCCATCAGAGATCTCTTCGCAGGGCAGTGCTCGGAAGATGGCATCGGATGAGTCGAAGGCCCTGAGGGAGAGCCTCACCAGCGTTGTCGTGGGTGATGGTGCGTTGCCGAATGCCGGAGATACGAGGGCAGCATCGACAGGGAAAGAGGAGTTCTCATGTGTCAGGACGTCAAGGGAAAAAGATCCTTCAGAATCAGTACGCTGCGGATGAAGATCTGGTGATGTGTATTGCGCGCACGTGTCATCCGCCATTGCGCCCCTTGCTCGAAAAGCTGCGAGCTAAGCTGGCGATCGTCAAGGGGAGGGAAACGGTTCATCCCCTGAGGCTCAGCATGGATCACACGACGGCTCTCTCTCCTCTGTTTCCATGTGGGGTGCGAGGGGATGAGTCATTGCGGCAGAAGGTGAGTCAGCCGGGGGGCTTGTGTACCGCAGACGACACAGACACCGTGATGAATGTGCGTGTAAGCATGCAGGGCGATTGCACAGGTACACGTGTCATGGATGCCATATCGAGAGATTCTGCACAGATCTCATTCATTCGCCCACACCTAGCCCGGCCCCACTTGCCTCGCCCTCTCTATCGATGGGCACGGCAGCCGCTGCTGCTGCTGCAGCGGAAGACGGCTGTGCCACTGCTGCAGAACTGCACAGACACGCACACACACAGAGACGACAAATCGCTTCAAGTCACGCTCGCGTTTTGGTGTATACGCATACCTTGATGATGTCTCTACGCGGCCGCCTGGAGGGGAGCTGGTCAGACTGCCAGAGTACTTGACATAGCGCTCCTCCTTGCGCCCGGCCAGCGACTGCCCCACTGCCGCGACCACCAGCCCCCCGTCGATCTCTGTCCCTGGCTGAGGCCGCAAATGCGTCATCTCAGGATGCACAAAACCCGCCGGCTCGCGGCCCACACGCTCAGCTGGTCCCGCCTCCGTCAAGTTGATGATGCCGGCTTTCTCCGCCTGTTCTGCGGTGCTCTGGAAGGCCATGCGGGCTCCCGTGGTCTTGGTTGCGACGCTGCCGGCGCCGCCCTCGATCTCATATGCCGATGGGAGGTTGACGGATCGCCAGTCGATGCCGCTCATCTGGGGCTCGACCATCTTGTCTTTGACGGTCAGCACCTCGTATGGCACCTCCACTACGCGCTCGACGGGCACCTGAGCGAAGAGCGAGATAGAAAGAGGTGAGAACGGCGGAGGGATGGGGGGTGGTCTGCTGGCTGTTTGTTTCCTTGGTGCATCGATGCACCCACCCACCTGTCGTTTGACCACGAACGGCACCTCGACGTAGACGGGCTTGACCTCGTACTTGGGGATGGGCTTCTCCACATACACGTCCTTGGTCTCGTATTGCACCTACACACACATGTGGGCATCCATCGTCATGTCCTTTTATGGATGTGTGTGAGTGTGGTGGGTGTTGTGCAGTGCAGTGCAGTGCATCGTACGTGGGGCACTTCGACGATTTTTTCGACGAGCACTTCTTTGTATTGGATTTCGGTCCGCTTGACCTCCCTGACCTTCTCCTCATACACAGTCTCCACCTGATACTCGACACGCTCAACAGGCACCTGACACACACAAGGGATAAAAAGGGACCAGCGGCGTCTGTGTCTCCAGTGCCTGCCTTGCCGTGATTCATTGTCCTCGCTCACCTCTCTGTATTCGATGTGCGGGACCTCTACGATTCGTTCGCGTATCTCTGTGGGCCCGGGGATGGCCATGACCTTCTCGACGGTCTCCACCTCGGGGATAACAATCACCTCCTCACGCTCGCCACTGAGACGTACACAGACGCAGAAACACAACACATGCAGTGGACGGAAGGATCTGCCTGGCTGACGTCTCGGCTAGTGTGTGCCTTCTCTCTGCGTGTCAGCCAGCCTACATGTATTCGGGGACTTCGACGATTTTCTCCACGATCTGCACCTGCGGCACCTCCACTATCTTCTCCTTGAAGTGGCGGACGGGAACCTGACAAAGCGACAGGCAGGGCAGGGCGTGCCGTGACATGACATGACATGACATGATGGACGCCTCTTGTCTGGTGCGTGTGGCTGTCTGGCTGCGCATCCTACCACCACTTCGCGCTCCTGTATCTCGAGTTTCGGTATCTGCACAAACTTCTCCATTGTTATGATCTCAGGCACCTGAGAAGCACGCAGGAAGAGAGCCACACACAGCCGACATGACACGGGGGGTCGCAAACGTGGGCGAATGTGTGTTGGATCTGCTGCCTGCCCCTCGCACACACATACCTCCACCACGTGTTCCCGCATTTCGAGAAGGAACTCATCCACCACCTTGCCGTCGTCCCTGCAAACACAATGAAGGCTCTCCTTCCATCCCCGTGCGATTTCTTCATCTGTGTGTGTGTGGCTGACCCCATCCGCTGCACACGGTAGGAGTCGATGAAGTTGTCGGCGACCACCGTGCGGCTCTCGTAGTCCACACGCCGGGACAACACCTTACCATACTCAAACCCTGCACAATCAACCGAGGACACAGATGAACACATGTATTTCCAGTGGACACTTCTCCTCCTCCCATGCCTTTTGTGATCCTCACCAGCCTCCTCCCTCTCCTCCTTTTCCTTGTACTCGGGCAGATAGCATGGCACCGTCACCTCACCCTCCTTGCTGATGCGGATGGGCTTCGAGCAAATGCCGCAGATGATGTGGTCTTCTATGTCGGCCATCTCGCCCTCTTTCTGGTAGAAGGCCATGATCTCTTTCTGGTAGGGGCACAGCCGACAGATGGCTGGTGGTTGACGGATGTGGATCCTCTGCTGCTGTTGCTGCTGGAGCTGCATCTCCTTGATGAGCCTGGTGCCGGCCTGGATCTTCTGCTGCTGTTGGGCTTCTGGTCGATAAGCCTCCCTATCGGTGGAGATGCCATCCTTGTACCCCTCCTCAATCAGCCGCTCCGCGATGCGATACCGGTCCCCCCCCGCCGACTGCTGGAGAACCGACAGATCCTCATGATGCCTTATGTGCGCCCCCCGAGAGATCTCGTACACCTGTCCGTCATAGTCGACCGTCGTGGAGCTACCCGCACCCATTTCGTGGAGCAGGAGCAGGTATTTAGGGTTTCACGGAAGAGGTAAATCTTCTTCCGGAGGTGTTTGTTGTTGTAAGCGACTGATCCGTTGTCCCAGTGTGCATTTCTGTAAGCCACCACGCTCTGACACAGCGATCGCTTGGGGCCTGCTTGTGGGTTGCTCGGAGGGGTCCTTCCCTTCCCTCCGGTTCCTTCGTTCCGTGTTCCTCGCATCATCGCAGCCTTTGCGTTCACACGCCGCACTTGACGTCCCAGGAGAGTCGCTCGCCACTGGCAGTCGAGAGCCGTCTCCCCCTCTGAGAATTCCCGCAGCCATTGCTCAAGCTGATCAACACGACGATGTACCACCATCCAGCTTCTGTTGTTGTCCCCCCTCAGCGGACCTTCGCTCCTCTCACCGGTAAGTCTGGTAACTCAGCATTCATTGCCCCTTCAGCACCGTGGGTGTCTTGGTTGCAGGTCCCTACCGCACCTTTGCGCCCATCCAGGTGCCCCTCATCGGCCACCCCCCTCCCCTCCCGTCGGCCCACCCGCCCCACTACGCAGCAACACTCTACCAGCCTCTCCCCCACCAGCAGCCCGTCGTCTCCCCCACGGCGCCTCCCCAGCAAAGGGGGTTCGTGGCTCCCCCCGGCGGCCAGCAGCCGGGCAACCTGCCGCCTCAGCATGCCCGACGACCTCGCCGAGAGGAGGCGCCGCCCCTCAAGAAAATTCATGACCCCGACTCGTGCGAAGAGGGAGAGGAGCGGATTGGTATTTGAGAGAAAGAAAGGGGCAGAAGGGGGAGAAGACGACAGCGGCGAGGTGTGTGTGTGTGTGTGTGTGTGTGTGTGCACAGACATGAAGTCATTTGTCGAACACATCAAGTATTTGTGGGAGGACGACGACGAAATTGTGTTCGCCACGGAGGTGCTGGGGGAGAACGGCATTCTCGGGGAGCACCTGGGTTGCTACTTTGCGAACATGTCGAAAGGTAACATGACTACAGACACAGCCGGTGGGGGATGGATGTTTCTGGCATACCCATTTGTGATTCTCTTCTGTATGCAGGCGGTGAATACTTCTTCGTCGACAAGACGCGATTCGTAAGATAGACCACCTCGGCGCCTTGACCTGTCCACGTGGCTGTCTTGTTGTTTCAGGCCCTTCCTGACGGATTCCGAGTGTATTCGTGGGGCCCCCGCCCTCTTTGGGGGATCCCCGCAGGAGACACAACAACCTTTTTCCGTTGGAAGTGCCCGACGGGAGCGGCGGGGTACCTGCGGGATGCTCTTGTGCGTCAGAGCAGCATTCCATTCCACAGCGTGTATAACAAGTAAGGAAGAAAAGAAACAAGGCTTGCTTGACATACTTTGCCGCATTTGCGTGTATATGGCCTGGCGTGTTTGCAGCTGTCAGCACTTTGAGAGGGACCTGCGAGCTGCCGCACTTGGTGTGGCGCCAGCAAAGGTGCGGACTCGAAGTGTGTGGAGAACATACATTGGTGACATCCTGCGCGGCTTTTGCTGCCCACGCTGCGCCCCCATTACCATTGGTGCATGACAGGGTGGAAGGGATCGGTGCGTGTCAAGCGTGTACGTGCTTGGTCGATGTCGGGCTCTTTCTCCACCAATGTCAGGCTGCTGGGAAGGGGTAAAGCTGGGAAGGGGAGCGGTGCTGTTTCTGAGTCCATGAGTCCATGAGCGCGGGAGTGTGAAGTACAGCTACAAATCCTTTTCCTGTTGGCCGTGTCCCTTGCTCGAGACAGGCTCTTTCCCTTCATGCATTCAATTTGTGGTGTCTGTTGAGTCTTATGACATGTCTTGCAACGCACAGACAGCTCACGTCGTCTGTTAAGGGCTTCACGCTCGGTTTTTGTCGCTGATATAAAGGGTGTGCGCATGGGAGGGCCGTCCTTCTGTTGCGTGTTTCAACAGACAGGGAGGTAAGGACAGAAACGCAGAAAGGCCTTCGGTCTGAGCCCCTTCTTCTTTCTCTTTTTGATCCGTCCTTGCTTAAGTGACTGTCATTTCTGCGCCTTGCTTGCTATGTAGATAAGGGCTGGGATGGGTGAAACTGCATCATGCCGCATCCCTTGCTCAGAGGGCTCTTTCCGATTCGATTGCTGTGATCATGCTTTGTCTTCGTTCCTTTTTGCCTCATTCCGCTCGCTTGAGGTTCTCTGTTCCGTGTTCCAGCACAGAGAGGCTGCACTTGCTCCAAGTTTCGCTGTCTCTTTTGCTCGGTTCTTTTTCTGCAACAATCGCTTCCCTTGCTTTGCCTCTTCCCGTCGACTGCTGTCGCGTGTGTGGGTCTTTTCCAAGGTAGAGCTACACAGACCCTTCACGTGTTTGTCAACAATAGCTTGTCGTGTGTCTTTGTGTGTTCTTCAGCGAGCGGAATCGGCTGACGTCAATGCTGATGGGAGTGCTTCTTGCTCCGCCGATTTTATCGTGAGTGTGGGCCGAGAGAAGACGACAAAGACAACAAGACGGCTGGGCTCGGTAATCGAGAGACTTATCAAGAGCGGGCGTCGTTTCTTGAGATGGCAAGAGGGAGCGTGGGATTGCGTCAGGGCGAGGGAATTGCCGGCGGAAAACGGAGCACTTATCAATTGCTTTGGGAAGGGTCCAGGGCAAGAATATGAAGAGAATATGGCCCGATCTGCCAGAGGTGCGCATGTGTCCTCGTATGACTCGTTTACCTATGGCCCCTGTGTGTCTCCGGGCTTGCTGTTCAGGCAGGAGGGTTTCGTGCAAAGTGCTGTGGTGCTGCGCTGCCCCGCATCTGCCCGCCGTGCAAAGTGCTGTGGCTCTGGTAAATAATGCATACGGAGGGCAATGAGTTAGGTATACGATTGACTGACAGCTGACTCGTTGACAATGTCTGTCCTTGTGTGTGGCCTTAATGTGTTCAGTGCGGTTCCAGCATGGCAGTCCTTTTCATAGCCATCGCCAGTCGGTCAGTCAGCTCCTTCCAAGGAAAGGTAGATGACACACAATCGATCGCACACACCGATTCGTATTCGTCTTGTGTACGCGTGTACCCTTCAGTTTCGATCGATTGCTTCGGATCGCTCGGCCTGACCGACCGATGTGAGTGATTGATGTGAACGATGTGAGTGGCGATGGAGGCCTCCCTCTCGGCCATGGCCACGTCCATCGCGGCACTCGCCGTCACTGGAGCCGCATGCCTCATCGGTGCACTCGCCGCTCGCACCATCCGGGCTCAGTGCGGGCAACGCAACAACAGCGACAGCAACAGCAGTCACTTGAAGAGGCCTCTGCCGCCCTCCCAGTGTGCTGCCGCGCCGCCCCGCAAGCGCCTCAAGTCACTCAGCCAAAAGGGACGGCAGCCACACACCGATGACCATGATGATGACAGCATGGGTGCGAACGGGATGGATGACGGAATGGTGGCTGAGGAGAGAGAGGCCGACAGACACCGCAGGAACCACACAACATCGCAGTCGCAGATCATCAGGTCAGGCACATGATTCACTCACTCACCCATGAAGCTTGTTGATTGGCTGCTTGTGTGCTGTTTGTTGGTGGGTGCAGTGCCGCGTTGCAGCTGAGCCACCATCACCACCAGGCCATGTCTCCCGCTCACCCACACCCTCCGCCCTTCGCCGCCCTCATGCTGCCCGTCCATCATCACCACGCACCACTCACCCAACACCCACACCCACACCCACACCCACACGCCGACATACGACCACTGACAACAGACAACTCGATGATGATCCAACGTAACACACACAAACAGACAGTACCATGTCTCACTCCGTCACTTGTCTGTCTGTTTGTTGTTCATGCCTGTACTCAGGTGGAGGTGATGATGCATCTTCGTCTGCCATCGGGCCGCCTGACGATTCAGTGTCACAGCGAGGGGCCGCCGAGCACACCGAGCGACCAACGGAGGGGCAGGGAGAGGGCGGTGGTGGGTTGGAGATGGTGTCGTACGAGCGGCGGGCACCGAGGCTGGAGATCAACATGAACGAGGAACAATGTATTGCTTGCGGACACACAGCGAGACATGATGGCATGCATGATGGTCTCTCTTGTCCTGTGTGGTGTGTGTGTGTCAGTGATGTCTGCTGTTGCGTCGTATCTGAGTGAGCGCTTCCCAGAGCAAACGCCACAATCCATACTCGCATCGGTCAGCCAAGTAGCCAAAGGCACACCAACACCTCCACCGTCTGTCTGTGAATGTGTGTGTGTGTGCAGTTTGGTGTGTTGTGCAAGTGCGTTGAGATTGAGCGGGGCCACCTCGTGCTCGCGTACATTCTCTTCCAACACACAAACGACGACACCATACGAGTGAGGGAAGGAGGGAGGAAGGAAAGGCACCAACCAGACCATTTGTCGCGAGGCGATGTGTGTGCAGCGGTTCTCTGTCGACGTGTGGCTGAGCACGGTGTTTGCGTTCGTGCACCAGTTGTCGCAGCGCGGCAACTCGCAGCTCGACGCCATGTCCAGTATCATGCAAATCGTCAAGAAAATGAAAGTACACACATAGACAGACAGCAGAGGTCCCATCCCAAGCACCTGATTCTGCGTGTGCGCATGAGTGTGTCTTTGTCCAGGTGCCCGTGTCTCAGGTGACGTCATGCTTCGATCTCTTCACATCAAGATTCGCAAACAAAAGAAACAGTAAGGACACACACGCACAACACTCCCTCAGTCTAGCATTGTCGATGGTGTGTGTGTCAGTATGGCATTTGTTGGAGACGGAGGGCAATGCGGCCGTCAAGTCGCTCGCATCAAGAACTCTGCGCAGGTGCACAATCATACACAGACGGCACACAGACACATCCATGCATTGATGTATGGGAATTCCTCATGCACAGGAGTGCCCGTGTTCGTGAGATGGAGTCGTCCAAGTCGAGCAACAACAACAAGCACACACCCGCCGCCCGCACCCGACAGCCGACCAGCAAGAAGGACAAGAAGGAGAGTGAGGGCACGCTCTGGCTGCCACAGGCCCAATCGGACGCAGGTAGGTCAGGCCCCACACACGAGATGAAAGGAGATGTCATCAGTGTCTGTGGGCATCGCATGTGTGTCTTTAGGTGGCAGCAGATCTCTGTCTGTCCAGAGGGCCAAGAGCAGCAAGCGGCGGGACGGTGCTCGTGGATGAATGAGTGCATGAGATTGTGTGTCAAGGGCAAAGACTCAGACACAACAGCGCCGGATACATGGTTTCATGTTGTGAATCGTCCCACATTGCGAATGCACAGGGTGGAGAGGTAAGGCAGGGAAGCTAGGCAGGTCACATCAGTCAGCACGAGATTGGAAGCGGACAGCCAATTGTGTCTGCTCTCTCTCTCTCTCCTCTCACCCCTCTCATGTCGGCAACAAAAGCTGACTGGTCCAACTTGACTTACTGGGCTCTGCACTCGACGGCTCGTCTTTCGATGACATGCCAGCTGCGTACAATCGTGTCAGCGAGGGCATCCACGGCAAGACGAACCGGCGGGCCGCATCGCACCAGCGTGCAAAAATAAGGAAGGTGGGTTGGAAGGCCTCTCGCACACCAACACGAACACACACGTACATGCAGCCACCCCGCCCGCCAGACACGTATTGACAAACACCACAGCTAGGCACGGAGCATCGATCACCTGCGTGCAGCCAGCCATGGCCACTGACTGGCAACAAAAGACCAAAATCCCACGCATGCACATGACGCATACACTGCTATTGACAAGACGGGTGGCGCACGGATGGGTGATCGAGAGAGATCGATAGGCAGTGAGGCAGGCCAAGTAGGGCGCAACAAGCCAGGGGAAAGGAAAGACACGATAAGAACACTGCAGCAAAACTGCCAGCCACTCGCTCCACGAAAATCAACACATAGGGACACACACACACGCACTACAAATCCACCTCTCGGCCCAGCCATGCATCTATTCACTCGGCCCTGGCAGCTCCTTTGTGTTGATGGTGAAGATCTCGCACTTGGCCTCGTCTGCCCGTGTGGATGAGCCGTCGGTGGTGGTCTCCGAGCCGTCGCCCTGCTCCGCCGCCGCCTTCTTCTCTCCTTCCTCATCCTCCCAGAAGAAATCCAGCGGATCGGCAGCCTGATGGCCATCCCATCACCGACACATGCACACCGCCTGTCGGTGCGTTGTTCGTGTTGTTTTCATATGACATACCTTGTCGGAGGGTGCCGCCTGTGGAGTGTCGTCGCCGTCATCGTCCTCGTCCGACAGCACATACACCTCCGTGCCGGGGGCAAACACTTCAGTCGAAGGGACCTAGAGGAAGCCACAGTACAGACAGCACGCCGACTGTGGCAAGCAGGGCAGTCGTGTCTGTCTTTGTGTGTGGGATGTGCTGTGGTCACTCACTGTCTTTTGGTCGTCTCCATGTGGGTGGACGGCGTCGTACACGTCCTTCCTGATCCACACCTTATACACTTCCTGACCCTCATCTGCCGCCAGCGCAGCCGACCGCCGCCGACGTCGGCCCTTGACACGACCACCCTTGCCGTCACCACTCTGGCAAGACAGACAGACCCACAACACACACACGCACACACACACACGCACCACACACAACACACAGGGCGTAACAAGACCAAGGCTCATGCATCTGTGCCTTGTGTGTCACTCACTGTGGCAGACCTGTGAGCGTGGCGGCCTCTTCTTCTTGGTCAAGTAGTACACAGGTGTTGCGGTGTCGGGTGCCACGCCGGCATCTGGTCAGGTCAGACAGCAGGCAGACAGACAGACAGTAGTACTAACGCAGGCAGACAGCCGTGGTGTGGTGTGTGACGTAACAGATGGATGGCTATGACTGACCTTTGATGAGGGTCTCAATCCTCTCCTGTACTGCCTGCGCAGTAGAGGTAGAGGACGGCTGAGCGGCATCGCCAGGGGATGGCGCAACCGACGACCCCTGTGCTGATGTGGCGGCGGTGCGCTGAGATGATGTCGGCGGGGCAGGTGGAGGGCTCTTGGCCTGCTGTGCTCTGAGCTCTTCGAAGGCCTTTAGCAGCACACGAGGCCTGAAACGAACACGCAGAGTCCGTAATCTTGTCTGGCAGCTGCGGATCTGCTGCCGGCACCCTCTCACCTCTTGACGAGCTCCTGGCCTGTCCTCTCACGGGCCGCGCTTCGCATCGGCGAGATGTGCTCGTGCAAACTCCAGCACACACACCGCTGCTGCGTACGCCCGTCGCCCTTATCCCTTTCCCCCTTCCCCTGTTGGCGAGCTAGTCTTGCAGATTTCCAAGCTCGCACTGTGTGGAAAACTCCCGTTCTGTGGTCGAGCCCTCTCTCTCTGAGTCACCACCTTCGACGACTATGCAACACGTTCGAAGAACACGAGGAACAGATCCAGCAAATTGTGTTGCTGTGGTGCTGATGGTAATATCACGACTCGCGGTGGCAGTGGCATGGCAGCTGCCGAGCGGCCAGCATCAGCCGAGAAGGCCGGCTCTGCCGTCCTCCCTTGTTCATCGGCAGCAGCCGTCCTTTCGCCGCTCATCCACGGTGTTGCGTGAGAGTGTAGGAGATGGAGGCGAGGCAGCGGGCGATTTGCCTCCGAAGCTGCGGACGCTGATTGCGACATTCAGGAGGATGCCGGACGATAGATTCAGGTGACTGAGTGAGATGGTCCTTGTGGTGTGTATTTATTTGCTTGGGTGGGTGGGTGCAGGTATCAGCAGCTGCTGGTGTTTGCCAAGGGCCTGAAGCCCATGAACAATGCCTACAAGACAAAAGAAAACAAAGTCAAGGTCAGACAGTTCAGGACATGCAAATGGACGCTAAGAGCAGAGGCATCGTGTCTCACTCGTCTGCCAATGTTTGTGTGTGTGTGTGCCCATGTTTCCTGGTCTCAGGGATGTTTGTCAGTGGTTCACGTGCACGCGGAGGGCAGAGAGGACGACAGTGGCGACATGAGGATATACTTCCAGGGCGACTCAGGTGGGTGGGTCAACCGACGAACCACAAGCAGACATCCATTCTTGTGGGTCTGCAACTTATCGAGTGTCTCCTCTCCTTATCCAGACGGTTTGCTAACGAAGGGTCTCGTCAATTTCCTCGTGCAGGGGCTATCCGGTAAGTGACGCCATTCAATAGCTCCACACACCAGCCGGCTATGCGGCACTGTGTGTGCTTGGTTGTGCAGGCTGCACGCCCCGCCAGATCGAGAGCGTCCCGGCTGCTGCCGTCATGGAGGCCAGGGTCACCAACTCACTCACACCGGGGTGAGTGAGGGAGTGAGTGGGGCACACGCCAGCCCTCCCACCACATGGCGTTCGCCACACCTGCAAGTGGCCGTGGTTGTGTGTGTGCAGGCGCAACAACGGCTTTCTGAACATGCTTGAGACGATGAAGGCCAAGGCCAGAGACATCGCTGCTGTGCAGGGGCGTGCGTAGAGAGAGGGGAATGAGTGAGTGGGGGTTGGTTGGTTGGTTGGTCCCTCCCTGTTCAGTCAGTGTTGATAGATAGCCTCTGGAAGGACCCTGTTGCTGACTTTATCCGACTTGCATGTGTGTCGAGTGTTTCAGCATTCAATGAATGCGCCTCGTGTGTCCATCAATCTATCCGCCACATGGTCCACGATCGTCAGTCACCCTGTCTGCTGCACCACACTAGTGCTCGGCTGCCCCATTTCAGCCACGCCCTCCGCCCCGTTGATGACGCTAGCTTCTGCACCAGGCTGCTGTTGTTGCTGCTGCTGCACAGCTGCTGGTCGGCTGCCTTGTGCAGGTTTGAGTACGGGGAATGCGATGACGTCTCGTATGGAGGTGCTGTTGGTGAGGAGCATCGTCAGCCGGTCGATGCCCACACCGAGACCACCAGTGGGCGGCATGCCGTACTCGAGCGCCGTCACAAAGTCCTGACCGTGACAACCAACACACACCCATCAGTCTTTGCCCTGCCTGTTGGTCGGTCGGCAGTGCAGTGCAGTGGCGTGCATACCTCGTCCATCTGGTGCGCCTCGTCATCTCCCGCCTCCCTCTCCCTCAGCTGCGCCTCAAAGCGCCTCCTCTGGTCACGGGGGTCATTCAGCTCAGTAAAGCCGTTGGCCACTTCCCACCCATAGATGTACGTCTCAAACCGGTCGGTCAGGCGCGGGTCATCGTCGGCCGCACGGGCGAGTGGGCTGATGTCCAGGGGGAACTTGGTGACGTGGATGGGGTGGGGGAGGGTGCGGAGGGAGGGCTCCACGAAATGCTCGAAGGCCGACTCGACGATCTTGCCCCACGACCGGAGCCGCGAGCAATCGAGGCCGAGCGACTCGGCCTTTTCTCTTGCCTGTTGCGATGCAGGCACAGCATAGCACAGGGAGCCTTTGTCTGTGACAGACAGAGTGGGTGGGTGCTTCCCTTCCCGCCCGGCTCACTCACTTGTTGGTATCTGTCGCATGCCATGAAGTCGACGCCCGTGTGGTTAAGCACCAGCTCAGTCATCGTGTGGCGGGGCCAGGGGGCCGTCAGGCCAATCCGCTGGCCCTGATACTCCACTGCCAGAGGGCTGCCCTCCCCTTCCCCCTCCCCTCTGCTGACGACTTGGGCGGTGCTTGTGGCGGCCTGCGTGACGAGGGTCTCTGTGAGTGTCATCATGTGGTCGGCCGTGGCGTAGGCCCAGTACACCTCCACTGTGGTGAACTCGGGGTTGTGCCGCGTCGACAGGCCCTCGTTGCGGAAACACCGATTCAACTCAAACACCTGCAGAGGGAGGTAGACACACATCTATGCAGTCAGGTGGACGGTGGGATGAGTGTCTTGTGTGTCCGTGTGTGGCCTTGCCTTGTCTGAGAGTCCGCCCACAATGAGCCGCTTCAAGTGCAGCTCAGGTGCGATACGCAGATACAGATCCATGTCCAGCTGACACACCACACACAGGACAGGTGAAAAGACCACACAGCGTGTTTCTTTGCCACTGGGCACAAGTCAGTCAGTGTGTGCCTGTGGTCTGTCTCATCAATGATCTTACTGCATTGTGGTGCGTGACGAAGGGCCTTGCAGCCGCGCCGCCCGCGATGGTCTGCAGCATGGGCGTCTCGACCTCCAGGAAGCCGGCGGCCTCCAATGACGACCGAATAGCACTCATCAGCACACATCGAGCCCGCAGGGTCTGCCGAGAGCCCTCATTCACTATCAAATCAACATACCTGCACATCACGTACACACGCAGGGAATACAACCCCCACACGCTGTCACGCCATATTATCTGCAAACCTACCGCTGTCTGTATTTGACTTCCACGTCAGTGAGTCTTGTCCACTTGTTGGGCAGCGGCAGCAGACACTTAGCCAGCAGGTGCAGCTGCCTCGCGTTGACAGTCAGCTCCCCCCTCGGCGTGCGGCGCACCCTGCCCTCCACGCCAATGACGTCGCCCACATCGAACAACGCCAGCAGGTCCGCACACCCGCCGCCTCCCTCCGGCACCCTCAGGTGGTCCTTGTGGCAAAAGATCTGCAGCCGATGGACGCCGTCGTCCAGGTCAATGAACATGCCCTTGTTACGCATGGACGCGATGCGCCCGGCCACCACGACGGCCTCGCCGTCAGCGGCCTCTTCGCCTGGCTGCAGCTCGTCATAGCGCCGCCGCAGCTCGCCCAGTGAGAGGGATGGCTCAAAGCCAGAAGGGTAGGCAGGCTGTCCGTAGTCGTCACGGATGGCTGCCAGCTTCTCCAGCCGCAACGCACGGATCTCGCCCCTCTTGCCCTCATCCATAGGCCCTTCATCGCCGTCGCCGTCGTCACTGTCTTGTCGCTTCTTCTTGCCTTTTGCAAGTAACACACTCCTGCTGCGCCAGACGATGCCTCTTCTTCGCTGAGCCGCGGTCAGAGGGACATGCTGAGAGGACAGGAATGCAGGAGGGGATGGGACGGCCGCTTCTGTGGTCGATAGCTGGTCGAAGATCCCAATAGCCGTCAGCATGAGGACGGCCGATGGATCAATCTGCATGCTGCAAGAAGGCAGCAGCCTCACAGAGCCACAGATGATGCAGATCTCGAAATCTTTAGTCAGGCCTGCATGTTTCTGGAGCCTCCGGCAGCTGGAATCGTTCGGGTTTTCCCTGAAACCAATATGAGACTCCGATGAGCATAGAGCTGCAGTTCAGCGTTCGATTCTACGACAAGCGGTCGGATAGGCCCACGTTCCGGCAGCCCGTTACTATTCCACCCCGTGTGATAACCTTCAATCCCGGCATTCGTCGCAGTCAGCTTCAAGACCTGATCAAGACGACATTTCCTCATGCCCTTGACGGCTACGATGCGTCGGAGCTGCTGTTCCCGGATCACCAAGCTCTGACTGCCGATGATGTGATAATCGACGCCACCAGCTTCCCTTCGCATGGCGGAGCAGACCAGGATCACATCAGGGTCGAAGCAGGCCTGCAGGGGGGGCAACAAGGCGAGAGCGAGGCCACACGAAAACGAGTAATGCGGTAGGATGGCGGAGGTGGCGATTTGAGGCATGTGCGTGTATCTTCCTTTTGTTCACAGAGGCGGCTCTGCGGCTTCTACCTCTGGCTGCCGATTATTTTCCTGGTTATCTCCATCTTCATATACGGCACTAGCGGACAGCACTTCCACGGCGGCTTCTGGTCGGGATTCTGCCTTGCAGTCGCACTCTTGTTCGTCGGCCTCATACTCGCTGACCTCCCGGTTGCCGACAGCATCGACCGATACGTTCAGGGACGATACTTCGGGTGGTGCCTCCTCGACTGCCCCGACTGGTGCGGCTGCTTCAGAGACCAGCCGCGAGGTGACAAGCAAGACTCCCTTGTTGGAAGAGCACCGTGTTGGAAGAGGACCGTGAGCGGTCGAGCGAAGGGATGTGAGGGTGGTGATTGTTGGCTTTTCTATTGTGAGGGGACAGTGGTGGTTGGGTGGAGGGTGGAGCAGCAATTCGTTCCTGTTGACTGACTGACTGATTGATAGACGGAGGACATCAGACACATGGATGCCTTCATGTGATCTCCTGCCTGCAGCTGTGTGTGTCTGTTCGTTGCCGATTGCCTTCTCACTCGGACTCATCCACCCACCCTCCTCACTCAATCGCTCCACTCTCTCATTCAGTCAGTCAGTCAGTCAACCTGTCAACGCTATCCATCCATCTTTGTACACGAGTGCAATCAATCATCCGGTCAGACCGCGGTTTGTCACAACAGCTCACGGAAGTGAAGCTGAGACGAGGCAGGAAGCCGCGGGTGGGACAACGTGCCCTGTGGATGAGCACCGTACGGGTACTGCCAGGCCCTGCATGGTCGCATGCGGCGATAATCTTACCCCTGTGACGGATGGCTGTGCGTCTGTGTGTGCAGGTCTGAGTTGGTAGGTGTTCTTCGTTCATCAGCAGTCAGTTATGTCGGGCTGGCCGGAGCCTCATTGGCCTTCTGGAGCTCTGTCACGCCTGGAGCTGAGCCAACCATCCCTCGCTCTCCACCCTCCCTGCCCTTCACGCAACGTCCGCCCGGCTGCCAATTCGTGTCGAGTAACGGGGAGAGGGATATGGAGGGAGGGGGGTAGACAGGGAGGAAAGGAGCAAAGGGCTGTGAGTGATGGGACAGACAGACAGACAGACAGACAGACCGGTGATTGAGACACCATGCCTGAGATACACTACACCGCACGATGAATGAATGGAGCAGACGTATGTATCGGTAACTCGATCCCCCAACCAAGCAAATACATGCATACCGCAAAGGTGGGGGCTGAAGCTGTACATGCATCTTTGTCATCCATCAGCAGCAAAAGTGTCTCACATCCATCCCACGAATGAATCCCTCCGTCCATTCCATGCATATGCGTCCGTCCATCCATCCCCCTCTCGGATATCCGTGGGGTCACACGTGCACGGATAAAAATCTTGCACCCTGTCTGCCTGCCGTCCCTACACACATCGATATCCACCCCACCCGGGGCTGCCTGCCTGCCTGCCTGCCTGCCTGTACAAGACTCCTCTCAGTCCATCTACTTATCCACTGTCTGTCTGAGTGTCGGCTGCTACCATAGCGTCATGCATGTGGTGTGCGTGCGTGTGTCATCTGTGTTGGCTGTGCTGTCTAGATTAGATGTCTTCGTCGAACTCGGTGTGGTTGAGCTTCAGATAGCCCTCCTCCTGCTGACGCAAATACTCGTTGCCAAAACCAGCCTGCATCCATCAACCGCACACACACACAAACGACCAGAGGGTGGATGTGCCATTCGTTCGTCAATCGGTGTGTCCATGTATGTATGTTGGCTGGCTGGCAGGCTGACTGACCAGTCCGCCCAGGAGTGCGCCGATTGGGTAGCAGTAGTGTTCCTCCCTGAGTAGTGCCAGTCTGATTTGGTAGGCCACCTCGTCCTCCACGTCCATGACGCCAAAGATGAACCCAAACAGACCGCCCATGACCAACGCTATCGACAACACCAGCATCACCTGACCACACCACACACACAACACACGCACACAGATGCATAATCAATCGTCAGCCGTGGCCCTGCGTGTGTGTGTGTGTGTGTGTGAGTGTGCCTACCTGGCTCTTTGATTCGACGAGCGGCTTTGCCCCGTTGGGCTGCAGGAAGCCCAGGAAGTAGTTGATGAGGTCCACGACTGAGAATGTGAGTGCAAAGGCCACCGAGACGCCCAGGATGGTGTAGAGGGGCACCTTGGCCAAAGGCGACAGACCCACAAACCAATTCCGCTCCAAAACGAAACACAGCAGGCCCGACACCACGATCTGACACACATGGAGCAAAGGGACCATACCATGATGGATGGCTGTCTCTCTCCCCGTTGGTGGCGTGGCGTACCATGACAGCGAATCCGGTGAGCTGTTTTTTCCTCTGCTGTGCCTCCTCGTTGGCGTGGCCGAGGATGCGCCACAGAATGACGCTGCCGACCGTGATAAACAGCACGCCGAAATACTGACACACCAGGCAGACAGACAAGGGACAGCAGCACACACACGCACACACACACACGGGCAGCAGCAATGCATCCACAATCAACGCGTGTGTGTCTGCTCTCCGTGAGTACCACAGAGAAGAATGGGCTGAGTGAGATTTCGACGAGTGTGCAGTTGACGACGAGGCTGATGATGATGCCCATGACCACACCGACAGCGGCAGACAAGGACCCCTTCCACACCAGCTCCTTGCTCATCCTCAGCTGCAGCGGCGCCTTCGGCATTTTTGACGAGTGATGATGATTTGATTGAAGATCTCTCCCACCACACACAAGATGAGCAGGACGTTGCTGATCAGATCTGCCCTTCAATATGCGAGCTGAATTGCGATCCTGCTCTGAAGGAGGAGCGCCGGGATCATCGTCTACGGCCATGGCGGCGACTCCCGACAAGAAGGAGGCGCAGCAGTTTCTCGAGTTCGTCAAGAAGCACCCACACGGGGCTTCTCAGGGCATGCTGACGGCGGCAGGATGGGAGGCGGAGAGAATCGCCCAGATAGCCAACTGGCTGTGTCTGCAGGGCCGTCTGCAGCTCATGATTGGGCCCGACAGCAAGCCATCGTGGAAGTACCGCACCGCAGAGGAGGCCAGGAAGTTCGCCGACCTCGCTCCGGAAGACGTCCTCGTCTACCAGTCGATAGAGAAGGCTGGTGAGATAGATGACAATGGACGGACACATATGGGTGGGTGGACGGATCAATGGATGCATGGATGGATGGATGGATGGGTGGGTGGGTGTGTCAGGTCGTCGTGGCATCTGGACACGTGACTTGAAGAATCAGTGCAACTTGCAGCCGCACCAGATCCAGAAGGCCCTCAAGGCGCTGGAGGGCCGGCGGCTCGTCAAGGCCGTCAAGAGCGTCCAGTTCAAAAACAGGAAGGTCTACATGCTCTTCGAGCTCGAACCTGACAAAGAGGTATGTACGCTGCTTGGGAGATGAGGTATACGATTGTCGCCTGCCTTCTCCAGGTGTCTGGTGGCTCGTGGTATCGTGATGGCGAGTTTGACGAGAAGCTCATCGAGGTCGGCATACTGAACTGAATGGACGGGACGGACTGATGCGCATGGCTCATTGCTGTGACGAATGAATGGTATGTTTATGTGTGTGCGTGTCAGTCTCTTCGTCAGCACTGCGAGGACATGATATCCAGCTGCGGCAAGGCCACCCTCTCAGAGATCAGGCAACATCTCAAGACATCGGGAATCAGCAAAGTCAGCCACACGGGCGGGCACAGGCGGTCCAAACACGGGTATGCAAGGCGTGTGTTGGTTGGTCTGTGTATGTGTGTCAGGATGATTTGCCCGAGGAGGACATCATCACTGTGCTGCGGACGCTCGAGTTGGAGCAGAAGATCGTCTCATTCGACGACGAGGGAGCCACCATCGGCGACAAAATCTACCAGGTAGGTACATCGACGGGTGCAGGTACATCGACGGGTGCACACACACACACCCATCCCTTCACTTGTGTGAGTATCTGTCTGTTGTATCCGTGTGTGCGCAGACGACCAAGTGGGCTCAGCTGGAGATCTACAAGGAGATCCCATGTGCGTCATGCCCGGTGTTCCGGGACTGCACGCAGGGAGGGGGCAGCCGCATTGGCCCGGAGAACTGCGAATACTACACCAAGTGGCTCGGACTCGACAGAGACGTACGAGGGAGAGGCAGGCAGCTAGCTGGACACACATGAGTTGGGAATGCACGTCTGTGTTTCCTGTCTGTCTGTTGTGGAATGCATTGATTGCAGGTTAGGCAAGACGACACAGCCATGCAGTTCTGAGTGTTGACCTTTCTTTGTCCTGTATAGCTACAATGGTTGCAGCAAGGCATGTACAGTGTGTTTCTCCGGATGAACCTGCCTGCCTGCCTGCGTGGATTGACACAGTGTGCATTGAGGTTGTTTGTGTGTGCCGAAATGACCAGCGGACCAGTTGAATGCACAAAGCATTCTACGAGGAGAGCTCGGGAGGGGCTAAGGTTTCAGGGTTTGGAACCCTGATCGAATGAGATCCTTCTGGTTCTATTCCCCTTGTGATGAGCCTATGGCTGAGATGTCAATCGATGAAGCAACAGGCACGGCTGCCCACCTTGTCAGCCGCTGAAGGGGACACTACCAGAACCAATCGCGGATCTCCGAGGTGCTCGTTGAGTCTTGGCGGCGGGAACGTGGCAGATCAGCATCACCGGCGCTCGTCAGCGCCACACAGTGACGATTCCTGCGCAGAAATCCCACTTTGATCGGTTTCTGTGCCTTCTCCTTGACACGCCTTTTCTTCGCTCCCTTGTCAGATCTGCCGGCACGTTTGGCTTGCCTGTGATGTTCGGTGCGCTCACTCAACCAAACAATGACATCATTTTCTGTGGCTGGTGTCCCGTGTTGTGATCCGCAGAATGTTCCAAAGAAGCTGGGATGGTTGACGTGACGACCGGTCGACTCACTCAGGGAAGACGGTAAGGGTATCGAGAAACACGCAGCACGAAGCAGTAGCACGAAGAGCACGCTGTCCCCACATGCAGTGCAGTCAGGCACATACACACATCCATCTGCCTATGTCACGTGTAGGGGAGGTAGACGGTTGCCGGGCTGCGGGAAGCCTCCCCTGTCGCCGCCGTGTGTCCACGCCGACATTCGAGTTCCCTCTTGCGCCCCTGGCTGTGTGGGCCACATGGACCCGGCTTCCTTTCGGTGCGTCGCCGGCCCCCTGTGGTGAGCATAGAACGTGACGTTCTTGGCGGCCGTCTTGGGCACCACCCTCTCCGTCATCGGTATGGCCGATGTGACGCGCTGCAGCTCCTCGGCGAAAAGGGCCGAGGAGGGAGGGGGAAAGCCTAAGGGGAGAGGAAGTGGCGGCCGCCGAGAGGGTTTCGGTGGGTGGTGTGTGGCAGGGGGTGGTTGTGCTGTGTGCTGGGTGGAGGGAGGGGAGGGTGGCACGACGATCGGGGGTCGCGAGTCGATGTCTATAGAACACAGCGCGGTCGTCACCTTGGTTGGATCTGCAGCAACCAAACCAGGGACGCACACAGGTCAGTCAGCTATGTGATGTCCTTCGTGCACAAACTGCACTGCCCCACACGCTTTGTTTCGCTTACCTTTCTCCGAGTCGAGTCTGTATTTCTTTTCGATCTTGTCGACTTGCTGCTGCAGCCGTTTCTTCTCGAGGCCGTGTGCTATGGTGAGGTTCTGCCACATGGTGCGGTGATGGCGGTGCAGCGACTCCAGCTCAGCCGCCTCCTGCTGACACTCGGCCGCACGCATGCTGCCTATGCGGTCATCGAGGGCTCGCTGCTCCCGCTGCTGCTGCTCAAGCAGCTGGTGCTTGCGACGCTCCACGGCCTCTAAAGACAGGAGGTGCGCTTTCTCGAGGCCGGCGGACTCGATGCGCTCCACTCTCTTCTTGAGCTTGTGTGCTGCGGTGTGCTCGCCCATCCGGCCCAACACCTCCATCTGCTTCCTCATCTTGAGTGTCAAAACCGTAGGACGGGCCTGCATGGAGGCGGGGGGACGCATTAGTTAGTGAGGGATACACATGGATGAAGTCATTGCAATCCCGCAGAGACGCACCTTGTGTTTCTCTGCCGTCAGTTTGCGGTCGAGATTGTGGTACTCGATGGTCTGCCGCTCTCGGAGTGTCTCCTGGAGCCTCAGTATTTGCGCCTCCAGCCCCGCCCACTCCACCTGCTGCCACCGGTCACGGAATGCCGCCATCTCGCTCTCCTGCTGAGTCAATGCCTCCTTTCTCTCGCTGCAGCAACAAGGTGACATACAGGAAATGATCCGCTCATGGGGCTGTTGCAATGGCTGCATGTGTTTGCCCGGCTACCTACCGTTCGTGTCGTTCATGCATGTCCCTGGCTAGCTCCTCCTGATGGAAGAGCCGCAGCTCCCGCAGCTTCATCCTTGCCTCGAACGCTCTCTGGAAGTCGCCGCTGGCCTCACACATGGCGCTCTCTTTTTTGAGGATCTTGATGAAGTCCTCGTGGAGCCGCTGCTCGGCCGGGGGCACGTGGGCCGCACGAACAGCCCCGATGCCCATCGGCCGAGGAACCATGGCGGTCAGCAAGGGGAGAGAAGGGAGATGGGGGCTATGGGGGGCTTTCCGTCTCCGGTTCCATCCGCGACTCAAGTTGAAGGACTGCGAATACCGTGGAGATCACCATGGAATTCCCCGGTTATTTCCACATCTCTTTCGACAGTATCGTCAAATCGGCCTTGTTGCTGCTCATCGGCTGGGTGCTGGGGCGGATCTGGAGCACCTGGAGCATTAGAGCAGCGCCGACAGGCACATCGTCTCCTCCACCGCTTTCCCGAGAGAAGAGCGCTGAGTCAGACCATCCCCGCAGGCAGTCGACAGAGTCATCAGGCCACCGGCCTTCTCTGCCACACTGCAGCCCCAATGTCGATGATGCGCTGGAACACATCCTGTACCCACCGCAGCTGCCCACACTGCAAGGCTTCTTCACGAGCAAGAAGGGCAACCGTAAGTGTCCAGACACACACACACACACGCAGATGATGGATGCGTTATACATGCACTGGATCTTATGCAGACCACATTTATTATGAGGTGTGCGGGAACCGCCAGGGCTGGCCTGTCTGCGTTTTGCACGGGGGGCCGGGAGGCGCCGGCGCAACGCCCATTCTCCGCAGATTCCACGACCCTGACGCATACAAGTGAGTGTGCGATGGCCCCGAGACATGTGTCTGTCTGCCTGCCTGTCATTGCCCCAGGTTGGTGCTGTTTGACCAGCGCGGTGCAGGACGCTCGTATGCAGATGGCGACGTGTGTGAAGACAACACGATTTGGCATCTAATCGATGACATGGAACAGGTGAGTGTCGCGACAGAGTGACAGACAGACATCATTTGCTGACTTTGATTTCGACACTGATGCAGCTGCGGGAGCTTTTACACATCCGGCAGTGGCAGGTGTGTCGCAGAGACAAAGCGATAGGACGAGAAGGAGGACATTGTGCGTCGTCGGTTTCTTGGAATAGGTGTGTGGCGGTTCCTTCGGCAGTGCTGTGGCCCTGACTTACGCCATTTGTCACCCCCATCGCGTCAGCTCTTTGGTGCTGCGGGGGGTGCACACACTGCGGCAGCGCGAGTTCGAATTCTTTTACCAGTGGGGTGCCAGAAACTTCTATCCCGACGCATGGCAGGTCTTCGCCGGGCTAGTGCCCAAGCAGCAGCAGCGATCACTCATACAGGTGAGAAAACCAGCCTCAGATTGCGATCCCATTCCTTTCTCGCTCTTTCTTCTTGTCCTTTATTTCTCCCTTGCTGCAGGCCTATCATCAGCTGCTGCACGAGCCAGAGCCCCACAACCAGATGCCCATCGATGGCGAAGACGATGAGGACGACAACATAGCAGAGGAGGAGGCAGAACAACCTGAGGGCGACGACATCGAGACAAACCCAAACCCAAACCCGAACCTCCTCAGCCCATCTGCTGCAACTGCGCGCCCCCGGTGCAACACCGACATGGACACCATCGAGATGGACGAGGAATCCGAGTCGCCCAAGCCTCAGAGAAACGCGACTTTCGACACTCCTCCGTCTTCCGGGCAAGCCACAGAGCAGCCACAGGAGTGTGAAAGCGATGTGCCGGCAAAAGGGCGGCCCCGTGCGGAGAGCGACAGGTTGCTAGCGGCATTTGCGTGGTCGGAGTGGAGCGAGACGGCGGCTAAGGTCCGTCCACCGCCGCAGAAGGACGTCACGGTCATGCGCCTCATTTCGACTAGCAGGGGCATCAGCCCACGGAACTCGACACAGACAGGGAGGCTGTGTGCTGGTGGTGGTTTGGGGGGTGACGGGAGTCCAGTGCGGTCTGAGAGCGCCCAGTCTGGCAGTTCTGAAGGGGGTGTGGTGGGGCCGGCGGTCAAGTCGGTGAGCGCTTTGAAGGAAGAGGTGCGGTCGATGATGCGAAAGGGCAACACGCGCAAGGCCGCAATCCTCCGCCAGACCTTCCGCATACGGTCGCATTATTTCGTCAATAGAGGTGCGGTGCTTGAGTAGGGGGACAGGAGGGGCAGATCGATCGATGCACAGCAGCCGTTCGTGCTTTCCCCTGCCCTTGTGCACCTTACCTTACTCGCAGGTTTCCTTCCGCACGATGGCTGGATTTTGCAGCATTTGTCGACCCTTAAGAAGGACATTCCGATAGAGATAGTGCAGGGGAGACTCGACCTCATCTGCCCACCCGTCACTGCTGTCAGTGAGAACAGACACAGAGACATGCATGGAGAGAGACACAAAGCCACTGCTTCGGTGGGATGTGTGTATGTCTTCAGTGGGAGGTGAAGCAGGCATGTGGGTGGGCCAATTTGGTCTTGGTGCCCGCTGCTGGCCACTCAATGAGCGAGCCCGGCATCGCCAAGGCACTCGTGAGGGCCACGAAAAAACTCGCGAATCTCTTCTAGCGATCCGCGGCTGTACGTGTCTCGTGGTCCTGGTCTGTGTGTGCACTCGTTTATCGGTGCACGTTGTCTGTTGATGGACCTACTCAATGCATCGATCTGCGTGGATGAGAGGCGTCGACTGAGTACAGAAGGTGGGATTTGCAGTGGATGCATGTGCAACAACCAATCACCTTGTTGAGTCGGCAGCTGTGCGGTCCATTGAGCAAAACCCGATCTTGGCGCCCACCTCGTGGTGGCAGTCCGACAAATCCTGGACAGAGAGACACAGGATGCGACTGCGTTTGTGCTTGTGTGTGCCACGGCGATGATAAAACGGGGACCGACATAGAGGGGATAGAGGGATCGATATCGGCTGCTGGTTGGCTGAGACATTGGTAGAGGCATGCAGGCGCAAAGGTCCCTTCATTCATGTACTCATGAATGTGGGTACAGGCGGGACCGAGCCGTACGACGAGTACTTTGCAGATCTCACAGGCCAGTCATTGACAAGCCATCCATCAACCCAGACATCCGTCAAGCCACACAGCAAACAGCGCACAGATATGTGCGTCTGCGTCCTTGCCTGTTGTCTGCAGCTTCTGCTGTTGGAACGTCTCCAGGCAGCTTTTGTGGACAAAGCCTGCACACGCGAACGGAAATGCCCATTGAGATCAGGCCATCCTACCCAATGTGCCGCGAAAGCCGCACGGCGAGGCCAGCAGGCCCGTTTCCGTGGACCCCTCTTCCATGTGATGCGCACGCGTCATCAAAGTCCGTAGATTCCTCAGTTTGCGAGCTTAGAATAGCATTTTTCTGGTGAGATTTCGCTTATTCTTCAGGAGACAGCCAGGAGACGGACACCGCGCCAACTTTTGTTGCACCGTCCATTTCACTTCGTTTCGAAGCCTCTCGTCCAACAAGCCCTCGTCATCTCTCGTCCCACTGGCTCTCGTCGTTCTGGTTTTTTATTTCTCCTGAGCCTTTTCGCATTCATCTCGTGAAGGCTCAAGCGCTGGCAGTGTCCTTTCAGCCTTCCAGATCCCCCGCGCGAGCGAGGACAGGGTCCACCGGGAATGGCCCGACTGAGCGCTCTGTCCATCATCTCCACCACCAGCGCCGCAGAAGCCCAAGAGCCCTCTACCACATCGGGCATCAATCGCTGGCAATTGCAAAGGGTGAGCAACAACAGCGGTCGGGTTTTGTCGGGTTGCCGGTGTGTTGGCGGGTCTCTTTCTTTCATTGTGTGGTGCATTGCAGCCGGCAGACAAGCTACAGCCCCGCCACGAGGCTCTCTAGGCTGCAGAACGGTAGGATATTCACTCTCTCGACGGGAGACGGCTCGTGCCTTCTTTGTCTTTTTTGTCTCGCGCCGTCCTTTTCCGGGTCTCTGACACATCCTCGTCACTTATTTTCCTGAGCCTTTTCAGCCTCCTCTCGTCAAGGCTCAACGGCTGCGCTGGTCAAGGTCGGCGGCATTGTGTTATCGGGAGATTCTGCGAGCTGGTGGGGAGGAGTATTGACAATAGGACAATGTACACACGACGGCGTGAGTGGAAGAATGACCCGATGTCGCTGCCGCCATCTGTTAGAAGGCCTGTCAGGACGCCCAGCAACTTTCCCTTGCCATCCGCCAGCAAATCGCTCGCCAAGGGTGCCATTGCCGGCAGCAAACCGCTCGCTAAGTGTGAGGGGAGCAACAACAGACGATGGATGCATCACCATGCATGCAATGTGTTGAGAATCTGATGATCTCTGGCCTCCATTTGTGTGGTGCATTGCAGTGAAATTGGAGGCCGAGAGGAGCAACAAGGAGACCAAATTGTGGACGGTTCCTTGATTCATTTGTTTTGCTGGGTGCAGATCTACGGTTGTGATATTGGAAGATGAAACAAGTTGTGATAGCCGCGGTAAAAGGTATTTCACACAAATGATGATGGTTTTTTGCATGCATCCATTAATTGTGCGAATCGCCTGTGAATGGGTGTGCAGCGTGCTGAGGGGATATCGTGAGTGCCTGAGCAGCTCGTCGCACGAGGAGCGAGCAGAGGCGGACGAACATGAAGACGAGTGCGGATGGGTCTTGATGGACACACATCCAGGTACGAAGGAATTCATTAATGAATGCATGAATGATGCATGGCTGTTTCATCCTTACTGCCTTCACAGGCCGGCTGTGCGGGCGACATACCGATGACAGCGAAGACGAGCAAGGTCGGGAGTGTCCTTCTGACGGAGGGCGACGCGGCGTCGTCTGGGCGGGCATTCATGTCAGAGGGCCGCATGAGGGGCGAGGGCTCAGTGACCCATGGCCACTGCAGTGGGGAAAACACCGACGGAAGCACTCAGTCGGACAAGTGAGAAAGAGAGAGATGGAACACACATCACGCACGCACGTGTCCATATGTCATGCATGACATTTCCCTCCCCGCCTTTGTGGATTCGTGTGCGTCTTCAGTGTGTTTGTTGGCGCCAAGCCTGCCGTGTCTGACGTTGCCCAGGGCCCTACAGATGCCACGCCGTCACCGCCCGCACTGCCCACAGCCACACCCGCACCCCCCCGCACAGACAAACAGACCACAGAAACCGCCAAGACGTAAGACGCGGATCAGCTTCCATGACACAAAAAAGCCACAAGTTAGGGATGTGTGTTTTGTGTTGTCTGTGCTGCAGCGGTGTTGTGTCTGGCAAGGATAGCGCCAAGAAGAAGACTCGACGCAAGGCCACCGCAACCACCAACGCTCGCCCCCCGCCTGTCCCACCCACCGGCAAGATCACTATACTACACCCCGATTATCGCCCTCCCCAGGTGCGAGCGACATACCGACCCACCGTGGGTCGATGTCGATGGAAGCGGTGCCCAAAGGGGGTAGGAGAGCAGCAGCCTGTCAGCCTGACTGATGGATGTTCATTGTTTATTCTGTGTCCCCGACGTTCTCTCAGCCGTCCGAATAGACTGAACGCAGAGGTGGCGTGCGGTGAAACCGATGGCTGTCTGCATTTTATATCTGTTGGCCCATGATACTCAACTCTCGGGCGCTGCTCATCTACCGCAATGACGCCCCAGCGGCCCCACAGGTACGTAAGTGAGATAGACACAAAGGAGGTAATCATGAACATTCGCTCATGTCTCTTCTCTTTCGTCTGTCTGTCTCCGCATATTTTGCCGCTTCGGCGGCCAACGAGAGATCTACCAAGCAGCATGACGGAGGTGCGCGAATCACTGGCTCGCTGGGCGTCTCGTTGTTGCAGTTTGTGTCTGTGATTGCGGTGATCTACAGGCACGAGTCAAGTTGCTGGAGCTGCAGTTGCGTGACATCGTGTCACACGGGCAGAGAAGGTATTTCATGTTGATCTCTGTTTGTGCCCTGTGTGTTGCAGCTAGTCGAGTTGCTCAAGTCGAAGCTGCGAAATGCGGAGAAGGACGACAACAACCTCGTCGACCCTGGGCGAACAAGAGGGTAATCGAACACGTGTTCACTCACGGCCAACGTCATCTTCTGTGTGTGTGACCGCAGACCGCCGGAATCCAGTACACGGCGCCTGCCAAAAGGAGACCTTCACGCGCCACGCTCAGACCACAAGCGTACGTCCAAAACTCGAACAGACAGCACAGGACACCACGCGTGGTCCTCTGTTTATCGCTGCATCCATGCAGACAATGGTTGATGCGGCCGTGCAGGACGGCCAACGTGAACCACACACATTCACCCACTCACAACATGGCGACATCCAAGTGCACCTGCCTGCGTCTGTGCGTGGGTTGTGTGTGTGCAGGTCGGTTCGGCCCCTGCTGGTGCTGGTGGCGTTGGGAAGACGTCCTATCCTGGGGCAGATACAGGACGTGCCGCACTCTCTCACAGGGTCACCCAGCGACCTGCGAAGAGCACGTCGGCTGCCAAGATGCAGATCTATCGCCTTCTACATCTTGTACCTGTGGGCCTCTTCGACTTTATCCAAGCTTGGCTGCCGTGCATGGGTCGCATTTATATTCCCGGCGGCCCCACAGGTACGTAAGTGAGAGAGGAACGAAGAGGGTCACGGACATATTCGCTCATGTCTCCTGTCTTCTCTCTTTCTGTCTCCGCATATTTGGCGCTTCGGCGGCCACCGAGAGATCCACACCAACGACACTGACACTGCAAGACTTCATCACACAAAAGGTCGCAACAAAACATGACTGACACGAGAAGGCCGTGAATGCATTAATTAGCACTCTTGACTTCTCATCCGGTGTCTTGCTGTCTGCCTGTCTTTGTGTGTGCATCCATCCATCCATTAGAAACCAGAATCCAAGGCCAACAAGCCACGCCCCCACCGCCCCTCCCAGGCCCCAGCGGCGGGCACACCCACAGCCACCATCGCCGTCCGTGTCGAGGAAGCCAAAAAAGGTGTGTATATGTCTATCGCATTTGCACGTCCGGCCGTGTGTGTGTGTGGCCTTTTTGGTGTTGTCAGGACAAGCCCAAGCAGGAGGCACAGCAGGCGGCGCAGCTCACCACGCTGCTGGCGGCGGTAGAGCGCGTCAACAAGAACAAGAAGAAGAAGGCGTCAGCAGGGGCCAGCGGTGTCGGTGCTGGTGGTGCAGGGGTTGTTGGTGGTGTTGGGGCCCCCAGCCGGTGACCCCCTCCCTCCCCATGCCCCGGTGTCTCCCTGCCCACTTCTCCTTGTCCAGTAACAGGGAGACATGGGTGGGAAGGGCATACAGAAGACTTGTCTTGTCCTCTCTCTGTGGCTGGGTGGTGTGCAGATCGCTGGCTACATTTTATATTCGATCGCCTCATGACGACTCCTTCAACGAGCTAGATTGCCTAGTGTTGGTGTCACGAGTGGCGGCGGTGCTACTGGGGGGGCGGGTGTTGGTGAGGGCCTGCCGCCGCCGACGGAGTGTGTCAAGCGTAGCCGACACCGGTATTACGGCCGTCTCCGTGTCGGTATTCCCAATCGGGAAACCGACCCCGACGCCGACACGGCCATCTGGAGACCCCGTAAGCAAATACACCTCCTCCCACAGACAAATGTATTCATCTCGCCCTCTACTCCTGATGTTCTGGTCTTTCAGGTGCCGATGTTGTGCGGCTCTCAGCTCAAGGCGGGGCAGTCCAATATAGAGGTGGGCTACGGCTACGGCAATTACGGTGTCAACGGCATGGGGGCGGGCGGCGATGGTCAGAGAGGCCAAGGTACGTATGTGCATGTGTCAGGGGACAGGCAACACGACGACAGCGACGACGCTGTGGATGCCGCCTGCGTAAGTTCAACACAAGCAAGCACCATGAACGATGGATATGTGTCATTAATTGATGTGCCTCTGTCGTTTTGTATGTGCAGTGCAAGCCCTTCATCGCCTCATTCCGGCCTTGTTACACTCCCTACACGCCCAGTGCACCGTCCGGCAGAAAGCCCTCACCTTGAGAATGATGGTGACGATTCATTCTTGAAACACGCGAGCACGATGGTGTGGGGCTGCATATGTATGAGGGCACATGTGATGGTGTCGACACAGAGAGGCACTTGGGCGGGGCAGTGAGACAGTTGGCCGTGAGCGAGGCGACGAGTCCATGAAGCGAGTGTCACGCTCCATGCCCAGACCGTCAGGCACACGAATGTCAGGCAGGCATACCGGTCTGGGCATGGAGTCAGTCAGGTGGTCCCATATTCGCCCTCACGTGTTTGTGCGTTTGGTGTCTGCCTCTGTCTCTCAGGTCGATGCCAGCCCCACCCCGCCAGCCCCACCCACCCTACCCACGCCCACACCTGCCACCCCCACCACACACAGCTCCCCCCTACACGGACCAACTGGCGGGACCGGCGTTATCCCCCTCTGCCAAGGTAGGAATACAACGTAGACATCTTCCCCACAGATAAACGCACCCACGCACCTGCGAAAGCACAGCAAGATGGATGACGCATATATCTTTCGTTGTCTCACACTTGCAGGTTTTCGAGAATCCTTTCGTCCAGAACGACAGCCAGCCCAGCACCGCCTTCCTCCTTTCGTGCTTGCTCATCCATGCAGGTGAAGGCGGCGACTTTGGCCTCCATGTTGACGACCTGCAAATCACAAGAGCCGCTGGCTGACTCCTGTGTGTCTTTGCCGCTGTCTGAGAATCTGCTTCACCAAGGCAGAGTGGAAGAAGGAGATCGCCAAGAAAGAGCGGGACAAAGAGGTCGGCTTACAGGCAAGAAACCGCGTCGACTACCACTGCTTTGCCTCTCCCATTTTTCTCATGTCTCTCCTGCTTGTGCAGATGGCTGCCTACATTTTATATTTGTGGAGCCTGTATCTCCTGCACCGATGCACCACACCCACCACGAGCAGCGGAACCAACACAGCGGAACACCTGTGAAATCCACTTGGTTGGATTGCCTGCGCCGTGAGGGTCCTTCCGCTGCGGCAGGCCAACGGCGCGTCCATCGTGGGACGGCGGCAGCGCCCGGGCGGGTCGGCGACGGATGGCCTGACGAGATGTTCCGCACTCCCGACGACGCCGCGGTGCGTCGGACGCCCGTCAAGGTGCCAACACATAAGTGGAGTCAGCAAAAGGGAGCGGGATGGGAGGTCTGCATCTCCACCAATGGAGAGAGGCGCATGCATGACCTTTGTGTGGATTTCTGTGTCTGCAGTCAGCCCACCCATGGGAGAGGGCGGAGAGGGGATGGGCTCAGAGGGCATCGGCGGGGCGGGCGGAAGGGAAGAGAGAGCGGGCAGTCCTCAGCCGGACTTTGGTCCGCCCAGGTACCCACCACACTCCGGCTGAGGACGGCGTATTTCAGCCATCAGCCTCGCAGCCAGGGGCGGCCATCCCATGGTAAAAGGTGGACTGTGGCAAACACGCCACAAACACGCCATGGGGTTTGACGGCGATGGCTTCGAGAAGGGAAAGGGCCAACATCACGAAGGCCACTGAGGACTACGAGTGGCTCGAGGTGGCCGACATCGCGCAGCACTCAGAGAGGCTCGAAAACCCGTGCGTTGAGTTGGGAGGGGTAAGCAAGCAGACAGAGGAGAAGGGGCGAGACAAGTGACGTTATCTTTTTGTCTGTTTCTCTGTGTATGTGCGTGTAGATTAAGGGGGAGTCGGTGGCCGAGAGGGTCGACCTTCTTACGACCCACTTGGAGCGGGAGCGGGGGGCGGTGGTGGCCATGTTGCTGCGTGAGAGGGCGGTGTTCGAGGCCGGACAACAGCCGATGGATCACTTTGTGGCCATCAAACCCCAGCCTGACCCAAGCGGAGTCCCACTGACGTCACGGGCCACGCTTCATCCGTGCGGCAGAGACACGGGAAGAGAGGGACATCGCTACCTACATTTTATATCCGGATGGAGAGATAAGACAGAGACACACGCCAAATGGGCACACACACAGAGAGATCGAAGTGGATGCATGCTGTTGATGGACTTACTTATAGTATATGGCACCGACATGCATGGATGAGTGGTGTCGGCTGAATAAGGAACGTGATTTGAAGCGGAACCAACACAAATACAGCACCAGCACGCCGCGAGGAGGGGAAGCGAGCAGCTTTGACACCATAGCAACGGTATGTGGCACATGTTGCACAATCGCTTATAGTCATTTGTGCTGTGTGTTGCTGTGTGTATGCTGTGGACAGGCAAGCCTGAATACGGTTTATGTATGTACGTTGCATTCATTTGCCATGGATGTATGTGTGTCTGTGCCGGCTGGACGTCGCGCAGCTCCGTCAATGCAAACATGAGACAGTTCGTGTGTGTCTGTGGATTTTCAACAAGTCTATGTAGGTCACGACACGCGTATGAGTGGCGAGGCGCCGTCGTCTTGGAAGCCCGTTACCAGCGCGGTAGTGTCCTTCTCCTTCAGCTGCACATGTCGACAGGGAAAGGGCAAGCGGTGGAGGGGTCAGCACACAATACACAGATCATGGAATACATGTGTCTGTGTGTTGCTGTGTTGGTCGGCCCCGATGTCCACATACCTTGAGGTACCATATGTAGTTGAGCAGCTCCTCCTGCGTGAAGTTGAGTCCGCCCTGAAACGACTGGTAACCCAATCCCTACCAGCATAACAGACAAATGGAAACGAGAGACACGTATCTGCATTTGCCGCGCTTGGGGTCTCATCAACCATTGTCCTTCCTCACCTCAGCGTTGAGTATGTCCTGTCTGCCCGCCGCCTCTCTCTCGGCAATAATGGAATTCGCTGGACACATCCATCCATCCATCCATCCGACACGCGCTGGCATGTGTCTCATATGGCGGGGAATGCGTACCATCCCTCTCTGCCGTGTCCATGATCAAGCGCTTGTTCACGCGCTCAAGCTCGACATCCGCGGTCGTGTCTGCAACAAACAGGAAAACAAGGGGACCTAAGGGGTACTTCTGCTCCCTCGCTGCCTTTGTGGCTGACTGACTTGCTTCGATTTCTTTGACGAGTCCCTCCACTTTGCGCATGGCGGCGTTTCTCTCCGACACCTTCTGATCGAGGAACTTCTTCTCCTGCGTCTCGCGGAGAATGATGCGGCCCAGATACAAGGCCGCAACGTAACTTCATTCCGTCCAGACACAGACAGAGGCAGACAGGCAAGGCGCAGGTGTTGGTTGTCGTGGGGGATCCAGTGTGTCGCTTGCTCACGCGTAGAATGGCTGCAGTTGACGCGTGACCTCCTGGCCAAACGCCTAACAACATTCATCGAGGGAGGGTGCAGCCTCTGTCTTGCTTCTTCTGTGCAGTCTATCCACCTGCTGCACGAGCGGTCTTCTCTTGATCATGTCATCGACGGTGAATCGCTCAGCGGTATTGGCCAACGCTGCCTGGATTAGGAAAAATAGAGGCACAGCCCTGTCGATCGATTCCATTCCATCCATCCATCCATGCGCCTGTTGCCTACCCTTGCTTTGTCGACATACATCGAGTGGTAGTTCTCCTTGAGTGCCTCGTACAGGTCCGGCAGCTGCTCTATCCTCAACCTGCAGACGCACGACACACAGGCACACATCCACCGGCACCCACCCGTCCTCTGTGTATCTATCGGCCCACCTGTAGTAGATGAAGACTTCCACATCCACCGACACTGCACTTGAGCCGCTCTCGCTTCGTGTCTTGGTGGCGATGGGACGGCCGTCCACACAGTCAGAGCAAAACTGACACACGTACATGGCAGACACACGTACAGATACGTGAGGCCAGCCATCATGGCTGGGTGGTGTGGCTGGTGGCTGACTGCTGACCTCCATGGGCAGCCATGTGGTCGGGTATGCGATGAAGCGGTTCCCAATACCCATGAAGTACCTGCGAAAGAAACGACAAAACAGGCAAGACACACCAAGAGGCATCCCCCTTCTTGAATTGTGCTGGCTGACCGGCCCTCTCTGAAGACTTTGTCTTTGTACAGCGTCACGTAGATGTCATTGAATCTGCGGCAACACGGGAAGTGACGATCTGTGCGTCGGCCGTCCCATGCTCATCCCTCACCTCAGCCCAACGCGATTGGTCTCCAGCACCGCAAACGAAGACGCAAACAGAGATATGGCCTGCACACATGCGTGGACGCACGTCAACACAGACAGAAAAGAGAGAGAGATGAGGTGTGCAAGCACCGCCACTGCGCCTGGCCACTGCGTTCCACTTTCGTGGCTGTTCATATATACCACGATGATGATGGTCAGGATGCAGCAGGCAAAGCAGCCGTGCCTGAACTTGTTCTCCATCGCAGACACACAGCTGCTCAGCAGAAAATGGCAGATCTAGGAGCGCCGCTGTGCACCATGTCGACCAGGCCGCTGCTGTCGGTGTCGCCAAAGAGGACGCGTACGATAGAGTTCCCGGTTCAGCTGGGATCCCAGCCAACTTCCTCGCCGGCCTTCGACAAAGCTCGCATTCCCAAAACGGCGTTTCGTGTTCTCGCAAGCTTCGCATGACGTTCTTTGGATCACGGCTCCAATCGTTCCTGTTTCGTCGCTTCTATGATACCCATGATAATGAGGTTCAAGGCAGCATAACGGCGCAGAAGTGTTGAATCTGGGCATTGCCCAAGCATTGCCTGATGCGTCGGAGCTTTGTGGACTTCTACAAGGTGCTGGGGGTGTCGCCACAGGCCAGCAGCGCCCTCATCAAGACGGCTTTCTATGACCTCGCCAAGCGATTCCATCCCGACGCTGGCGGGAGGGAGAGCAGTGCCGCCAAGACCGCAGCCACAGGTGCCAAGAGCCCTCAGGAGCACTTCAAGCTCGTCAACGAGGCATACCAGACCTTGTCCAAGAACCGGGCGGCTTACGACGATGAGTATCGGCAAAACCTGCCTTCGTTCGCGGCTCAGCAGGCTCGTTATCGAGCCCAGTACCCGCAGAGCAGCCGACCTTCAGAGTCAGCCAGGCCCTCGGCGGCCCATGGCGGTGAGCAGAGGAGGGGTGGCCAGCAGGGGAGGCGACAGGAAGCTACTCGGCCATCGTATGCGCCTCCCGAGGCGGACTATTTCCACGAGTATTATGGGGGCGGTGTGGTCGACAGTGACGAGGAAGAGAGGCACTGGTTCGCATCGGCCAAACCGCGACGGTGAGCGAAGGCAAGAGGGAAATGAGAGGGTACACACAGAATATATGGAGCACACGTGTGTGTGTGTGTGTGTGTGTGTTTGACTACAGCAGTGGTCGCGGTCGGGCCCAGCCGCACTCGTTTGCGTACTGGGAGGACGACGTGAGTGACGGCGAAAACGACTGGACCGACGAGAGAGAGTATCAGGAGTTCTGCAGGTGTGTATCAATGGATCAATCGCCATCAATCGCCGAACACCTACACGGCATCACACCTTCCTCCCTCCCTCTGTGTGTTCGTGTGTGTGTCAGACGTTTGTGGCAGCAGGAGAGCAGGCGGAAGAAGACCAAGCGGAAACCGCAGCGGCCCGACTGGACACACGGCGACTTTGAGGAGTCATGGAAGTCATTCGTCAACAACAGCGGAGAGGCCAACAGCAGCACCACCGGCAGCCAGCAGCCACCACCACACGAACGGCACAAGACGCGGAAGGACAAGGAGAGGGGAGAGAAGGCCGCGTCATCCGACAGCAAGGCTTCCCCAGAGGAAAACCAGACCGGTTCGCCCGACACAGATGACGACCGTTGGGGCCACGGCTATGACTCGGACAGTGACGATTCGTCCGACGACGATGAGTGGGTGGGGCGGACGCACCACAGGTCTCGGTCTCGTCCGCGGTACAAGTCGTGGAGCCCGCCGTCAAAGCGGCAGGGCGCGCGCATCTTCACAGTAGCAAGCAGGATGAAGACGGATGGGTCGTGCACCAGCCCGCCGCGGCTCGACCCGCAGTACCAGAAGTGGGGCAACAGGGTCGAACCCGTACTCTTCTTCAGGGAGAAACACATCATGGGATGGTAACCACACACCCACGGCAGCCAGCCAAGGGCCCAGAACACACGATGGCACGCAGATGTGTGTGTGTGTGTGTGTGTGTGGTGTGTGTCAGGTTGTCGATGCACGGGGAGCATGACCGTCTGTACGGTGTGTTTCGCGACGGGCGGTTCAGCTACTCGCTCGTGTGGAAGAAGGACAACAGGTCGTGGGACCAGCCAATGTACGAGATCAGGAGGCAGAAGAAAGGCGGCAGATGATCGAGATCATCTCTGTCTCTCTCTCATGGAAGATGGATCGATGGGTGCAATCAATTGTGTATGTGCGGTTTTTGTACATACATACATATGCATGCATGTGTTTGTGTGTACACACATGACATGCCTCGGCAAGGCAAGGCAAGGGATGCGTTTTGGTGAGTGAGTGGGTGGGTGGGCCGGTGCGACAGATGTGCTGGCGCGGCCGCACGAGTGGCAGGGAGAGAGGGAGGGATTGATGGGTGGACGGGGTGCAGTGTAGGTAGTAGCGTCACGTAGAGCGAGCCACTCGACGTCCGTCAGTAGACAGACAGACAGACAGACCAACAGACAGTTATTATCGCCTTTTTAATACATCAACGAATTATCGCTCTGCAGCAGCTGTAGGCCATACTATCTATACACACAAGCACGCAAATGTCCTCATTGACCCCCATGTACACACCAGCTCCAACCCTCAATCGACCCGACAGACACACCGCACACAGAAGGCCACCTCACCGTCCATCCATCCATCCACCTGTCAGCCTTGTTCTCTCCTTCGCCTCCTCATTGTGACCAGCACACGACCCAGACCTACATTAACAAAGATGCACACCAACCGACATTGACGTGACAACATGAATGAGGGAGGAATGCTGACCTCCGGCGAGGAACTGCAGACTCGTCGCCAGCAGCTCCAATTCTGACAAAGACAAAACAGACACAAACAAAGAAGGGCGATGGATAGATACTTACGGTGGCTTCCCTCTCCGGCCTGCGTGTAAACCTGGGTGGTGCCTGACGACCTCCAGCTGCTCATCCAAATCGGCCCTGCATTAGGCGGGGTGCATCGTGTGTGAACATGTGTGTGTGTGTGTGTGTGTGTGAGAGCCATTCCCCCACTCAGTGACTCACTCTCTGAGTTCCACTGGCAGGAGAAAGACCAGTCGGCCGCCGTCGACCAGTGCCACAGACGCGAAATACATCAGATCCCTGCACACCCAGCCACAGACAGAGAGAGAGAGAGAAGGAGCGGTCACACAGTGAGTGAGTGACACGGTTGCATGTTTGTATTCACTTGACGATGGTGTAGCTCTCCACCAGCTCGTCGAACAAGCCCGCTGTGCTGTCCCCACCACCACTGACACACAACACACACAGTACAGTACTGCGGATGTGTGACCGATTTGTGGCTAGGCTGCAGGTAGGGGCGAGTGGCTCACTTGAGGCATTCTTCCCTGCCCCTCTCCTTGAGGGGCTTCTTGTTCTTCTTCAGATGGCCCGCCTGACGCGCACCGGCACGAATCCCTACACGCACCACACATCCATCCATGCATCCATCCATCCATGGTTCCGCGGATGCAGATCTGCACTCCTCGCTCCACCTCTGTCTCACCATAAGGCGGGTCACACACAATGGCGTCCATCCATGGCAGTGTCCGGCGCGCTATCGACCGGCGATGCGGGCTCGACCAGCTGTCACTGGTTGAAGTGCTCTCTGCTGCTGCTGCCGCTGGGGTGTGCTTGTGCTTCCGTTGGGCCGGGAGGGAAGGGGGGCCGTCCTCAATGGACGGCAGCCGCCACACCTGACGAATAGGCGGATGGATGGATGGATGGATGGATGGATGCCAATGCATGTGTGTGTGTGGGTGAGCCGGTGAGTGTTCTGTCTGGTACCCATGCGGCGTTGTCGGAGCAGATGACCTCAGGGGCCGGAAGGCCATACTCGCGGAAATTGCGGAAGATGGTCGTGTGGGCTGCATCAGTCATGACGTCAGGCACACACAAACAGCACAGCACAGCACAGCACAGTGCGTCGACCGTGGTGTGCACTGTGTCTGCGTTTGGATGTGGGTGTGTGAGGACCGTCGTTTGGTTGTTGGACTTCCTTGTTGAGCCGCGCCACCCCCCAGCCCTTGAGCACACGGATGTCAATGTCGGACCCCATGCACACACCCCTGGGTGCACACAGACAGGGAGGAAAGACCTGCATCATCCTCTCTGTCTGTCTGTGTTGGCGCAACAAGTGTGTGTCGGTCACCCGAAGTGTGAAGCGGCAATGAGCAGCCCCCCGGTGCCCACAAAAGGATCGAACACCACATTCCCTGCACGCACCTGCGCCTGAGAAACACACACACACACACACACACACATACACCGAGCAAGCACCAAATCCATGTGTCGCGAGGCGGTCCTCTTTTCACCTCTCTCTCTGCTCACCTGGTTGGCCATGAGGAATGCGAGTTCGTTATCCATAGTGGTGGGGCCCAGCACCGGCCGGCAAGTCAGATCATACCTGAGCCACCACGGACCCTTACGCGGACGGGCTACCTATACACATACACACACACACACATGCACACATGCACACACACACCATGGATAGGGAAACCTGACGCCTTACGGCTCTGCCGAGGTATATTTTTCTGGGCTCCTTTGCCCGCTGGCTCGCTGACATGAACTCGATGCTGTGCGCCCAGTCCTACGCACACACACACACACACACGCACAAGTATACTCTTATTCATATTCCATCTGCCCGGCAGGCACCATTTGTCTGTCTGTGTGTGTTTCTGTTGTGTGAACACCCACGTCCCTCCCCACTGACCTCTAGTATGTAGAGGAGAGTGGTGGGGTTGTTGATGTCCGTCGGCTCCTTCTCGGTGAACAGAGACCGAAAGTGATTCATCCTACACACCTTCTCACCATGACTACATCCATCCACACACCAAAGGCACCATCCATCCATCCATCCATCCATCCATCCACGAATAAGTGGTCTCACGTGAAGGTCTTCCCAAAGCCCGCTATCTGGAATGCCCATGTTGTGGTCTCGTTGAGGTGTGTGCGTCGCTTGTCGGGCGGGAACCGCCGCTGGGCATCGCTCAGCACCTCGTCATAAGTCGAGCCCTCACCCCACACCTAATACACACAGGGCAGTGGGTGGATGAATGGGTGCCTGCCTGCCTGCCTGCCGACCTCTACGAAAGCCTTGACTGTGATGGCCCTGTCAACGATGCGGCTGGCCGTCGACTCGTCGGGCAGGTGGACGTAGGCGAACGCCAGCTCCTCTTGGCGAGATGGCCTGGGGCAGCCGCCCTCTTCACTCCACAGCCGCGATGGATCCCACCCACACATCGAGGCCAGGGACTCCAGCTCTTCCACTCTGTATAGAAACAAACAGACAGACAACATTGCTCTGGCCCTTGTTTATGTGTGTGACCTGAAGTTGAAGTAGTCGTTGTGGTAGGCCCACCAACACAGCACCCGCAGCACCATTACAATGAGTGATCAGCCTGATATCGACAACACACACCCGCCGAACGACACATCAAAGGGAGAAAACAACGCAGGAATGAATAGATCTTGACAGCGCCGTCGCAGTGAGGCCAACCTGAGCTATCCTTCCTGTTCGTTCCTTCTGCCTTTCCTTTTCCCTTTGCGAGCTCGACATCTGCGAGCTAGCAAGGGAAGATCTCCCCCGTTTTTTTCAAGAGGCTGAGCACCGCGACGAGAGCATCCTCCCAGGAGTGCTTTGACCCTTTGATTGATACATCTGTCATAAAATGCTGCCCACCATGCCGATGCAGTCCCTCCTCAGCCGCCAGTGGACGGACCTCAAGCAGAGGCCCTTCCGACGAAAGTAACGGGCCGGGCCCCGCGTGTCAATCCGACTATTTCCATCTCTGTTTGTCTGCTTCTGGGCGTGTGCTTTAAGGTTGTCGCGTCAGGAGACGAGTCAGCAGTTGGTGAGCAGTGTGGAGCAGCTGGAGTCGATGAAGGACTGCTTCTTCTGCCACACACTCAGATACGAACTGTGGTACGGGCCGGGGGCCGCCCGGCCTTACTCATACACACGCACAAACACAGGCGCTTCGATGGGCAGACAGACCAAAAGTGTGTGTGTGTGTGTGTGTGCAGGGAGGTGTTGGTGAATGATTACCTGCCCAACCACAACCTCAACAAGTACACGGCATGCACTGCACCTGCTGGCTCTCAGTGACCACCTGACTCTCTTGTCGTCTGTGTGTGTCACCAAGGACCGACGCGACCTTGTCGATACTGGACAGGCTGGAGGGCTTCTGGGGCGACGAGATGACGCTCTCGCTCGAGACACTGCGGATGCTTGTCCGCGACGACAAGTGGACAGAGGCGCAGAAGGTACCTACCTGGGTTGTGATGGATGCCATCAGAGTGCAGGTCGACCGACCGTCGGTGTGTGTGTGTGTGACTGTGTGAGATCAGAATGCGAACAAGAATTTGAAGCAGTTCACGTACCGTCATTTGGACGACGAGGAGGCGCGCCCCACCAAGTACTGCGTCATGGTCATCGTCGCCCCACTCGACAAGGGCGACATCACTCGAGATGTCGGACAAGAGCTCAGGTGCCTACCTAAGGACGTTGTGTTGCATCCATCCCACAACTGTACAACACAACCGTATGTATGGGACAGGTCGATGATGCACTCCAAGGGCGGTCCGCCGCCGTATAATGTGGTGACGTGCACATCGGTTGAGGAGGCGCTGCTGTGCGTGCTGATCAACAGCGACATCCAGGCGATAGTGGTGCAGGACCTGCAGCACTCCATCAACTGCGAAAACGCCAACGCCTTCGTCGAGGACTTCAGACACCTCGTGGAGGGATACGACCGATTCGTCGCTAAGCCAATCAAGGAAATTCACAACGGGTGGGCGCACACACACACACACACAAAATATCCCGCACACACAAGCCCTCTCCCTATTCTCTGTGTGCGTGTTGTGTCAGTGCGAGCATCCATGGCACGTTGCTGAAGGCGATCAAGATGATGCGGCCAGAGATCCACCTCTACACCGTGACCCACAGCCAGACGCCCCTGCTGGCGTCGGGCAAGGGCCAGGGCACTCTTGCACCGGCCCCCTTCGAAGAGGACGAGAGGTATGTCGACTCGAGCGGCGACTTCGACCCCTCCATCTTCATCAACCGGGAGTTTTGTCAGCTGGACGGCCACCTGGAGCTCCATGACACCATCGTCCAGGGCGTCAAGGAGAAACAGGCATGCCCCTTCTTTGACGCACTCAAACGATACGCAGAAAAGTAAGCGCATGCATAGATTTCTGTGTCTGGAAGAACGCATTATGTGTGTGTGTGTGTGTGTGCAGGCCGATAGGCGTGTTTCACGCGTTGGCCATTTCTCGCGGCAACAGCATCCACAAGAGCCGGTGGATCGGACACTTCATGGACTTCTACGGCATGAACCTCTTCAAGGCTGAGTCATCCAGCACTTGCGGCGGGCTCGACTCGCTCCTGGAGCCACATGGCGCCATCAAGGACGCACAGGAGCTGGCGGCCAAGACGTTCGGCGCACACAAGACGTTCTTCGTCACAAATGGCACCAGCACGGCCAAGTACGGGAGCGCAGAAGTGGAGAGTGATCCGTGTTGCAAGGTTTCTGTGCGTATGGGTGTGTTGCAATTGTGCAGCAAGATCGTGCTGCAGGCCGTGTTGAAGCCGAACGATGTGGTTCTGGTTGACCGCGACTGCCACAAATCGCACCACTACGGCATGGTCCTCACAGGTGCACACACCAACACCACAAAGACCTCACACCATCTGTGTGTCTGAGAGGCTGATGGATGGATGGATGGATGGATGGATGGATGTGCGCAAAACAGGTGCCCGCCCGTGTTACCTGGACGCCTATCCGCTGCACGATTTCTCGATGTATGGCGGCGTGCCGCTCGAGACCATCAAACGCACGCTACTCGCATACAAAGCGCAGGGCAGACTAATGCAGGTCAGCAGACATATAGCAGATATAGACAGACAGGGGAGGGAGGGAGATGGTGTATGTGTGTGAGTGCGTGTTGTGGTGGTTGCCGGTTGTTTGCGTGTGTAGGTGAAGTTGTTGGTGCTGACCAACTGCACGTTTGACGGCATCGTCATCAACGTGCAGCGGGTCATGGAGGAGTGCCTCGCCATCAAACCAGACCTCATCTTCCTATTCGACGAGGCCTGGTAGACAGGGAGGGAGGAAGGGACGCACTCAGAGAGAGAGAGAGAAAGATGGCACCCACCCATTGTACACCACACCCACATACATACATACGCTGTGCTGTGCTGTGTGTCATGCATATGTCCTTTGCAGGTATGCCTACGCATACTTCCACCCAAGTCAGTGAAAAGCACCAACAAGACAGCCTCTCCGCCCCCCACACACGACATTCATCTGTTCCCTCTCTCCCTCACTGGGTGCGTCGGGTGTGTGTGGATGCAGTATATCGTCTGCGCACTGGTATGGGTGCGGCCAACATCCTGCGGCACAACCTGCGGTCGTCAGACGGCCCCCGGCGCCACACCCTTTGCCTGCAGCAGATGGGCGTCGACAGCATCGATGAGGCATCCAACGACGTTCTCATGAACACCCGCCTCTTCCCCGACCCAGCACATGCAGTGGTGCGCGTGTACGCCACCCAAAGCACCCACAAGAGCCTCACGGCGCTGCGGCAGGGCAGCATGATACACGTCAACGACGACTTGTTCAGCCAGTGTGTGAACGCGGCCTTCACTGAGGCGTACTTCACGCACACGTCGACGTCGCCCAACTACCAGATACTGGCCTCACTGGACGTGGGCAGGTCGCAGATGGCACTCGAAGGCAACTTGGTCAGTCAGTCAGCCCGACACACACATGAAGCAAGGATGGCAGAAAGGTCTGCTGCACTCATTCACTCGCTCCACGTGTGTGTGGATTATGTGTGGGTTTGTGTGTGTGTCAGTTGGTGAAGGGTCAGATTGAGGCGGCTCTGACGCTCCGCCGCCACGCCGCCCAGAACGCACTCATTGCCAAATACTTCCGCATACTCACTGTCAGGTAAGTTCGAAGGAGGGAGGGAAACGGAGAAAGAAAACACGGCGATCCGACGCTCCTTCTGTTTGCTTGTGCTGTGCGTGTCCCCAGGGATATGATCCCGAGCCAGCACCGGTTGACGTCGACAGTGGACCATTTCTACCAGGAGGAGGTGCTCAAGAAGGCGGTGCAGCTGAAGCCCTCGTCTGACTGGAAGAGCGCTGACGTTCGGGTGCTCGAGCGCCTGTGGCTCAGCGACGATGAGTTCGTGCTCGACCCCACAAGAATCACACTCTACACTGGCAACTCAGGTAGGTACCTGTGTACTCACACACACTCACACACATGTCACGGATGGATGTGTGTATGGGTGTGTGTGTGTGTGAGTGAAGGCATTGACGGCGACACGTTTAAGGTCAAGTGGCTGATGGAGAAGTACGGCATACAAGTCAACAAGGCAAGCGACCGACCGAACATTCCCCTCCACCCGCTCCGCTCCTTGCCATTGCCACACATATACGTGTGTGTGTGTGCGTGTGCATGCAGACGTCGCGCAACAGTGTGTTGTTCCAGACCAACATCGGCACGACCTCCTCGGCCATCATGTACCTCCTCCAGTGCCTCGAAAAGGCCGCACTCGAAATTGACGGGGTGAGTGAAGGACACACAACCGTGTGTGTGTGTGACGGTCTGTGGATGTGTGTGTCCTTTCTTCCTTAAATGCACATGCAGACGCTCAAGTTCAGTAGTGACCGTGAGCGGGAGCTGCATCAGCGGCGCATCGACGACATGACCATCAGGGCGCCCCCACTGCCCAACTTCTCGGAGTTCCACAAGAGCCTGGGGCCGCCACAACCAGCAGCCAGGGGCAAGAACAACACACACGAGGTAAGTAAGACCAGGCATCACCGGGTGCTGGCCATGCATCCCTGCGTGTGTGTGTGTGTGTGGTGGGGGGGGGGGGG